ACACCTTGTGGCTGTACCAGAGACAATCACGGCAAGTGGCTGTGCTTGTGTCTTTATTGACACCATCTTCCGACTTCATGGGTTGCGCCGTGAACTCGTATCAGACAGAGATCCACGATTCACTGCTGATTCCTGGCGTTCCGTGTTCAAAACACTCGGAACGCGCTTGAAGATGTCTACATCTGATCATCCAGAGTCAGATGGTCAGACGGAACGTGCCAATCGTGTCCTTGAAGAGATACTTCGAGGACACGTACACTCCTTTAAGAGTTAGAGTGAGTTCTTGCCAATGGTAGAGTTTGCCATTAACAACTCGGTGCATGCGTCCACGACACATACACCGTTGTACGTGAATGTCTTACGCCATCCGCGTGTACCCACCTTGCTAGAGTGTAACTCTGGTTTAAGGGGGGGAGACTCGCACGAGCAAAAACCGATTTGGTTCACGCTCATCACGCTCTGACGAAGAGGTCATTGCGTTTGATGCCGATATCGATAACATCGATATCGAAGAAGATGATGCCAGTGAGAGTGCGGAAGCCCTCACTGAAGAAAAGATTGATGTCACTGCAGTGCACTCACAGCGCACTGAAGCTAACGAGTCATCAGATGAGTTCATACTGGCTCGTGAAACGGCAGTCCGTTTTGTGCAAGACTCCATCGCCGAAGCGGTGGATAAGCAAAAGCAAAACGCTGACAAGAATGGAAGGGCAAACACTCTTTTATTTAATAAAGGTGACTTAGTCCTACTGTCTACGGTTAATCTACCAAAGCATGTAGTGACTAACTTGGGTAGCAGTAAACTACTACCCAAGTACATCGGCCCATTTCGTTTATTGCACCGCCTAGGCAATGCATACACGATCGAGTTACCACGTAAGATGCGAACGCATCCCACGTTTTACGTTGGTCGGCTTAAGCCGTACCATCAGTACGCTGCTTCTTCCGATGAAGAACGCCCTTGCGCTCAAGCATCTCGCAGAGAGCCTTGTGCTCCTGATGGTGGGCATCAACAAGGGTCTGAAGAGCAGTTATCTCATCCCGAGACCGATCAACAATCCCACGAGCTACCCTTAGCTCGTCACGAAGAGATGTCAGAGCTCTCTCGTTCTCAAGCTGAGCAAAGGCAAACTCAGCTCGATGCTTCGAGGCAGTGTCCGCCATTTGGAGACGCCTGTCCCGCTCATGTTCGAGATCGTTGCGTAACCCTTGCGTTACGCGATCAAAGAAGCTCTCGGGAACACACCGATCCACATGATCGTGTGGAGAGCGTCTTTCCTCCTCCTCCACCTCCATTAGAGGACTCTCGCGGTGGCCAGCGCTATCTAGTTGAGCAGCTGTTGAACCACCGCGACGTGAACGGACGTCGGACGAGTTATCTCGTCCGGTGGCGCGGCTATCCCCCGTCCTGGGATACTTGGGAGCCCCGCTCCCAACTGATGGTCGACGTACTGGGTTTGGTCGAGCAGTACGACGCGGCACATCCTGTGCCGCAGAAGGACCGCCGGAGAAAGTCTTCCCGGCACGGTCGTAAAGAGATTTCAGGTTGTCAATCCCTTCGTACATCTCAGTAGAGACTCGTACGCGCCACCACGGGCTATTAGGGAGGTAAGCCTTCTTAGGTGCTCGTGCAGAGTTGTTCACACAACATGGGCACGAGTCTCCCCAAGAGAGGCAGGGTAATCCTTTCTCCCTTGACAGACGATGCAGCTTGTAGCGTGCACCTGTCGGGGTTCGCTTTTCAAACTTATCACGAGCTTTGATAAGTTTGTCATTCCAAGCGTCACGACCTACATTCTCAAGGTTATGGATGTAGGCGTTCCACGCTTGAAGTAGTGAGGGACCATCACGCTTGTGATTCCCACTGTACCATCGATGTCTAAAGAAAGCATCGATGAAGAATTCATTCCCAGCGCGATAGTTTTTCGCGCTGGGGTCAAGGTGATGGATCCTTGATGAATCGAACAACCGTGTTCGATAACGATCACTCGTCGTCGACGACAAGTGATCCATGACAGATTTAGGAGGCATCCATGCCTTCTTCTCAGGAGCGAGACGCAAGACATTGCGGCCCCACTCTTCCTGCGATGTGCCGACAGAAGTACTGGCACCTCGTTGCGAAGTGGTGTCCATAGGAGAACCGACACCACTGTTAGCGCCCGAGTCTCGCGACCTCGAGCGCCTTCGCTTCGGCGATGGTTCATCTGATTCGTCAGATGAACAAAAGATGCTACGACGCATAGCGTCATCCATGCCACGCTTGGCAGGCGGCTTGATTCGATCGCCGTCGATACGGATCCGTCTTCCGTATCAGGAGAGTATGAGACACCGAGCTCATACTCTGTGAAGACATGAGTGTCTTCATGATCAGCGCCTGCATCACCAAGTGACACAGGCTGAGTCGCTTCAGCAACCGATGAGACATCAGTTGCTGTGGTTTCTGCTTCGGCGTCCGCACAGAGACGTGCGGACGCGCTCTCGGCGGCCTTGCTCGCGCATCGCATGGGCTTGTTAACTATGCGATGAGATGTTGGAAAGTGGACTCGGACCAACAAATGCAAACCCCGTCCCAAATGATTTGGGACGAGTATCCATTTAGTCAATCAGTCACTAAAGTGACTGATGGTTGAGGGGGGGGTGATGTATCGGGGTGAATCGTTACATAACAATTTATAAGAAATTGTTAATAGATAATAATTATAAGAGTTATATTCGCAGAATATTGTCATAAGGACAAACATTCTGTAGCACTTACGAGTAGTTCCTAATTGGTTGATATAGGCCATTATATCAACCAACGAAGACGCGCCACGACAGACGCACGCAATGAGTGGTGAGCAGATATTTGATTTACACATTTGTATTCAGACACAGTTAGATGAAGATAAATTGTGATTTATTGCAGACATTCACTATTATGAATACAGTTCTACTTTTTACTTTAACCAAGTACTCGCTTCTTCTTACCGTCTTCCTCTGCACGTACGAGTGTACGTGAAGTTCCGAGGCACCGCCTTATTCTGTCATCAGAATAAGTAGCTTGTACTGTTACCAGTACAAGCTTCAGGGTGCCCGCTACAGCATCCCTCTTCGTTGCCGATCACTTTACTTTGACTTCACTGCGTCAAAAAGTGTAAAACCCTTTGGAAAACGATCATGCTTACACCAGGTTATTTTAGCAGTATTTGCGTTAGGTTGGGCTATACAAATTGCATAATATGTTTTTAAATGAACTTTTGCACCGGCAAAAATGCCCTTTCGTTTTGGAAGCCGCGAATGAGCCTTCACTATTCGCCAATGAGCCTCCACCGCATACATTTTGTTAGCGAGTGATGATGCGGCGACTTGTGCAGGGTGTATATTGCATATTTGCATTAGTTGTATTGTTCTTTGGCAGGTTTATATTGTGGGATGTTAGCGAAACGACAAGTCATCGGATTGGCTCAGTCGTTTGGGAAGGGGGATTCCACGCGGGTGAGTGCGGGTTCGATCCCCGCCGTGTACAAGTTAATTGTGACTGACACTCACGACCTGGTGTTTGGGGTTCACCAGAACTGTGACCCGCCCGCAGTTACGTCCCCCACCCACGCAATCGTTTTCATTCAGCATATGACACAGCAGAGTTTTTACGAAAGGTATTTACGAGACGTAATTACCCAGCGATAGGTAAAACAGAAAGCGGTGGAGACAGGGCACGAAATAGGTGGCTGAGAGTCACCGGCTACTACTAGCCATTCGTTTTCGAAGCTAGGAACAATTTGAATACAACTCACTTTTCGGTTTTCATCCCCGGCCGTAAGCCATCTTCTTCTCAGCATCAGCTCCACAACCTAGTTAATTCTAACAGGTTATGAGCCCAAGTAACGACTCCGGTTTCAAGGTCGAGCCTTTCGACGGCTCGAACTATGGGTTGTGGAGTTACAAGATGAAGATGTACCTGATGTCGAAGGGGCTGTGGGGCGCGATCGCGGGCGATGAGACAACAAGTGAGGCCAAGGAACAGCAAGCCCACGCCGCGATCGTGCTGAATCTGAGCGATTCACAGTTGATGCATGTCATCGACTCGGCCACCGCAAGAGAAGCGTGGGGACGTCTGGCGCGATTTCATCACAGTCATGACATGGCGAATCGACTTTGGCTGAAGGAAAAGTTCGCGTCGTTCAAGTATGCAGCATCAAGCATGAGCGGTCATGTGATGGAGCTGGAGGACCTCGTGATGAAGATGAAGCGCGCGAACTGCGGTCCAAGTGAAGAGGACGTGTGCGCAGTACTGTTGCGGAGTCTACCTTCAAGCTTCGAGAGCTTGGTACAGGCATTCCGCATGTCCGTCGCAAGCTTCAGTTTCAGTGACCTCGTGAGCAAGTTGATCGCCGAAGAAGTGCGCCAGAATGAGGGAGCACGAGTAGAAGATGCAACGGCGCTCTACGCAGGCAAGAGGAAGGGTAAGCAGTACCCGAAGAAGCAACAAGGACGGCGCGCGAAAGGACCATCAGGGACCTGCTACAACTGTGGCAAGGTCGGACACTACGCCAGAGATTGTCGCTCCGGTCGAGGGCCAAGGGAGCAACAGCATGACCAGTCGAATGTCGCGTTTCATGCCAGCGAAGGTTTCGCGAGCAACAGCTGGGTCATGGACAGTGGCGCGTCAGCACACATGTGCAAGGATCGAGATGCGTTCGAAGAGTACGAAGAAGTGCATCATGCGCGAAGCATTTCAAGCGCAAAGAGCGACGTGAAGCTGAATGTCATTGGACATGGGACAGTGAAGCTGCGCGTCTGGACAGGACATGCGTGGATCGACGCTCGCCTTGAGAACACACTTCACGTTCAAGATTTGTCCAAGAACCTGTTTTCGCTCACGGCTGCGGCAGCGCGCGGCATGACAGTGGAGATAACGCGCAACGAGTGCGTGGTCAAGCGTGGCGGCACACCCGTCGCAACAGGAAGGAAGCAGGGGGTTCCTCCTGTATCTCAATGCTGACTGTGGTACGGAGTGCCACATGGCCGAAGACGATACAGAGCTATGGCATAGAAGATTGGGTCACGTGTCGTATGGTACGCTGAATGCCATGGTCAAGGACGGAAGGATCAAGGGCGCAACGATGAAGACGAACGTTGCGTGTGACGTATGCGCAACGTCAAAGCAAGTGCGCAAGTCATTCAAGACAAGTGAAGAAGACGCTGAAACCAGGGAGAGTTCGCGTTCCGACGTGGTGGTGTGCTCCGACGTTCTCGGACCTATCACGCCAGCGTCCAAGTCTGGTTTCAGTTACGCCGTAACCTTCATCATGATGAAGAGCAGGTATGTAACGGTCTATCCGTTGCGAAAGAAGAGCGACGTTGCGAGTGCGTTCAAGCGGTTTTACCAAGATGTCAAGACAGCATCTGGAACGAAGATAAAGGTGTTGCGAAGTGACAACGGCGGCGAATACCGGAACGAAACGATGAACAGCTTTTGCAAGGCAAAGTTCATTAAGCAAGAGTTCACGGTTCCGTACAATCCAGAGCAGAACGGGATGGCGGAGCGGATGAACCGCACGCTGGTGGAGATGACGCGCTGTATGCTCAAGGAAAGCGGCCTCGACAAGTCCTATTGGTGCGAGGCACTAATGACAGCGGCAGACATCAGAAACATTCTGCCGAACGCGTCGAACAAGAACTCAAGCCCACACGAAATGGTGTTCAAGAAGGTTCCGCGCATCGATCACATGCGCGTGTGGCGAAGGAGAAGAGAAAGAAGCTGGACGACTCAGGCGTGCGATGTTTCTTTCTCGGCTATGAGAAGGACCAAAAGGCGTATCGGCTTCTCAACGCGGACGATGGCTCGATCGGGATTTCAAGAAGCGTCACGTTCGCTGAGCATTCTGTCACGAAAGCATCGAAAAGCAGAGACACGCAGGTCTTCGATGTCATTGAAGAAGATGAAAGTGTGGAGGCGTCGCTAACCGATGATGAAGACATACCAGCGCCGGTGACCGAAGAAGAGCTGCGCACCCCACCACTTCGAGCGCAGAACAGCTCTCATCACGGACCAAGTGTTCGACCAAGCGACACCATTCCTACGCGCGCATCCAGCACACCCGGAAGAAATGGAGAAGAAGAGTGGATGGTGCGACCGGTTCGAAAGAAGCGCGGCGTGGTTCGCTACGAACAAGAATTTCCAAGCCATCGTCGCGGTCGCTTCAATTTGGACGACTACGAAGGTGACTTCGACTCTTTCTACTGTTTCTCGGCTGAAGAAGATGGGGAACAAGCGTCCAGCTATCGAGAAGTGATGAAGAGCGGCTACAAGGAGCAGTGGCTCCAGGCAATGAAGAGTGAGATGAAGTCGCTTGAAGAACACAGCACATGGAAGCTAATGGACATGCCACCGGGCAAGAAGGCCGTTGGCTGCAAGTGGGTCTTCAAGATTAAACGCGATCCAAGTGGCGAGATCATCAAGTTCAAGGCACGCTTGGTTGCGAAAGGGTTCACGCAGCGTCCTGGCATCGACTATAACGAGACCTTCGCACCAGTGGCGCGCAAGGAATCTATCAACACAGTGTTGGCGATCGCTGCAGCCGAAGACCTGGAAGCAGAAAACGTTGATGTCGACACAGCGTTTCTCTACGGCGAAGTGGAGGAGGAGATCTACATGGACCAACCTGACGGTTTTGAAGATGAAGGAAGCCCGAATAAGAAGTGTTTGCTGCAGAAGGCGCTATACGGGACGAAGCAAGCGGCGCGGCAGTGGAACAACAAGTTGAGTCAGCACTTGGTTGATCAAGGATTCAAGAGCAGTACAGCGGACCCGTGTGTGTTCGTTCGAGTGACAAGAGAGGAGTACAGCATCATCGTGATCTACGTGGACGACTTGATGATTTTCTGCAAGACGAAGGAGCACATCGCAAGTATCAAGAACTCATTGATGGAAGATTTCAGCATTAAAGATCTTGGAGATCTCAAGTACTGCCTCGGGATCGAGATTCATCGCAAGCGCGAAGATGGAACGATCAAGATGAACCAGAAGGCGTACATCAAGCGACTTTCGGAGAAGTTCGGCGTTGAGAACTGCAAGGACATGCACACGCCGGCGGACAGTAATTCGAAGCTGATCAAGATGGGTCAAGAGGAAGCGTTTGTACCAAAGTACCCATACCGTGAGCTGGTGGGCGCTTTAATGTACATCGCCACATGTACACGACCGGACATTGCGCATGCGGTTGGCGAAGTTGCGAAGTTTTGCGAGCGCTACGACAAGTCGCATTGGACAGCAGCAAAGCGGATTCTCAAGTATCTCAAGACGACTCAAGACTTAAGCATCGTTTTCAGCGGCATCAACAAGGGAGAGCTGATTGGATTTGCGGATGCAAACTGGGCTGGCGACCTCGACACGCGGCGTTCGACAACAGGATACGTTTTCTTCCTGAACGGAAGCGTGATATCGTGGAACTCGAAGCGTCAACCAACGGTCGCGACCTCAAGTACGGAAGCAGAGTACATGAGTCTGTACAGCGCGACGCAGGAAGCAATTTGGCTTCGAGGTCTGCTCAAGGACCTGAACTACTGTGCCAAGAACGCGACGACGATTTTTCAAGACAATCAAGGTTGCATCGCGCTGGCCAAGAATCCTGTGTACCACTCGCGCACGAAGCACATCGACATCAAGTTTCACTTTTTGCGTGAAAAGGTTGCAAGTGCAGTTATCGCGCTAGAGTTCAAGCCGACAGAAGAAATGGTCGCGGATGGATTCACCAAAGCACTTCCAAGAGACAAGCACAGCAAGTTCATCACGGGTCTGTGAATGGCGGTGTAGGGGTCACACGTCGCACGCACATCAAGGGAGAGTGTTAGCGAGTGATGATGCGGCGACTTGTGCAGGGTGTATATTGCATATTTGCATTAGTTGTATTGTTCTTTGGCAGGTTTATATTGTGGGATGTTAGCGAAACGACAAGTCATCGGATTGGCTCAGTCGTTTGGGAAGGGGGATTCCACGCGGGTGAGTGCGGGTTCGATCCCCGCCGTGTACAAGTTAATTGTGACTGACACTCACGACCTGGTGTTTGGGGTTCACCAGAACTGTGACTCGCCCGCAGTTACGTCCCCCACCCACGCAATCGTTTTCATTCAGCATATGACACAGCAGAGTTTTTACGAAAGGTATTTACGAGACGTAATTACCCAGTGATAGGTAAAACAGAAAGCGGTGGAGACAGGGCACGAAATAGGTGGCTGAGAGTCACCGGCTACTACTAGCCATTCGTTTTCGAAGCTAGGAACAATTTGAATACAACTCACTTTTCGGTTTTCATCCCCGGCCGTAAGCCATCTTCTTCTCAGCATCAGCTCCACAACCTAGTTAATTCTAACACATTTAACATATAATTGGATTTAAGAACTCCCAAAGTTTCAGTTATTTCGCTGTACGTTCTATACATAGCGACCGTTACATCTCAAATCACCTTCGCTATCGTACTCCGACCTCCATTATTGAAAGAAACATGGTAAGCATTTTTCGGATCACACAAGAGCTATGCTTCCTGTCGACAAAGCTTGTCACGCGCTTAAAGAGCTGACAATGCCGGAAGGCTATTGTACAACAATTAAACGAAAATAAAGGGTGAGCAGTAGCGAGGACAGTGAGTTAATAGTAGTTAATCTGCAATGCTCATGTAGTGCTTTACACAACAAGTGATGTACAAAGAAGATATGTAATAGCACTCAAGCGTTACAAGAGGGTGAGCATCACACTAAGGTGTGTTGTGCTCTCACAATCGTCAAATTACACGCTAGTATGAATGATGGTCTGATAACGTTTGTAATATAAGCGAAGTGTCGTCATCGGACCTTTTTAAAGTGGTTCTTGTTAGAACAAGGCATTGCTGCCCGAAATGGTTGAAGTAACGGTTGGAGTATCGGCTGACGGCTTAGAAAGCCTTTTGAGGATTATTTGGGTAAAGATTGGACAGATGCGGGGATGGATGATGAGGTGGACAGCAGTGATGGAGAACAAGAACAGCTTGTCCATCGTGATAACACGACAAAAAATGACGAAATTCCTTCGTCACAGCGCCACCGACTTTCAGCTTGCACCATGGCAAGCAAACAGTCCTTTTGAGAGTGAGAGAGACGCTGTGTAGGGCGGATGGTAGTCACGTCAACCAAGCCAATGCGAGCCTCTATTTCAAGTGCTCTTAGCCGTCGGAGGGGATGCTCTTTGTGGACCTGCGGATATGACTGGTTTAGTCTCGACTGCGAAAATGTAAAAGCACAAAATTTCGACGAGAACGAGTTGATAATTTAGGAGGTTTCTAATTCGACTGCTTGATTAATGTGTGGGGTTAAGGCTCATTAACGAAAGTTAAGGCTCATTAGCGGCTCCATTATTTTTTAATTTCCCAAACTTTGTGATGCAATACTTTGCGATATTAGACTATTTCAATTTAAAATTGACCCCATCTGGCTGAATTTTCGACTTTTTGTTTCCAACCCATTCTGTGTAATGTCTCGAATTCGAATTTATTTAGCCATGCCACCAGCTCCCACGCAATCGACTTTGAATGACAAACAAAGTCGTCGGGATCCGATATGCAAAACCTGCCAGCCGACCTAGTGCTGCATCTCCATAATGGCGTATCTGACAGATACTACATACTTTCTGGCAGCTATATATGACACAAACGACTGATTTTGAAACAACCTAGGTGAGATAATGACACACATTTACCACCACTGAACACCCTTCTTCAGCACATGGCCAAATTGCAGCTCAAGTCTTTCCAGCAGTATTACGGAAAGCACGTATTGAACGAGAGTCCTGGCTTACACCCCTCGATCTTTATTCCTGATACAGCACGCACAGAAATCGTCAACAGCTCACCCTTTCAAACTTCGTAGCCGAAGCCGCCCCCGAACACTTTTTGACAGACTTCGGTATGATTTTGACAAGTGCCAGCGCGCAGGCTTTCTGGTCAGCTCTCGAAAGCTGAACACGAAGCTCCACTTGGATTGAGCTGCTGTCGTTCTCATTTGACGAAGCCCACAACGTAAGCACTGCCAATGTATGTTCAATAAATAGTTTGCGGTCAGCGTCAAGCCGACAGGTGTGCAGGTGACAAGGTAAAGAGCCGGATGAGTCGTTCGTTACAAAGGATCGTCGTCGTACAAGCGATTCAAACAACATCTCGACACTACGCTGAGCGATACCACAGTAGTAGACATACTACACAGAATAGGAAGAGGCTCTGTGTCCTGACGCTGCGCAGACGCTTCTGATGCTTCTGCATGACGCTACCGCGCTGTTTCTACAGATTTCCGTATCCCCATTAGCTCCTAATATCGGCTTTAGAAGGACGTGTGGTAGTCGACGTGCAGCCAGCCAGTTTACGAACTGCAGTGAGCGCAGCGACAAGAAGGCCGCCGCTTTCTTGCATCGCATCGTTCAATCGAACGCCAAGTGCAGGCGCTGCGTGAGCGCATGTCGTCGACAAGTTGAAGCTCAAGCGGCAGCGACTTGCGTCATGGCTCTGATTTCACGGTTCGAAGCCGCGTCACAATCGCGCACTTTCGAGCGTTCGTCGCCTGCCAGTCATTCGATTTGTAACCAATCCCCGAGCTCCGCCGTCGAAATCGCCAATGACTACAAAGCTGCAGTGTAGGCACACGAGCGTCGACGTCATGATGTCATCGGGCGAGTTCGTCGGGCTCGCAGTATACAAAAGCCAAGTGCGGTGACATCGGAGGCAGTCGACCTCCTTCCTCACTCTGAGTGGCATCGAACCCTCCGAAACCTTCTGGCCCTCGCATTTGAGCTTTTGCGGCGTCTGTCCCAGTCCATTTCGGCCCCAAAGCCCGTCCGACTCCAGAGTGCACCATGTCAGCCAAAGCGATCCGAGAGTTCGACGGCAAGCGCATCCTGTCCACGAACCTCCCGTCGTTCAACCTCAACAAGCGCTTCGCACAGGTGGCCGTGACCAAGAGCTTCATCGGCCAGAGTCGCGAGGCCTTTTTCCTCGCAGTCGAGGCCACAAGTCCGTGGCTCACGACGCTGGGCGAGACGACGCTTGTGGTCAAGCCTGACCAGCTCATCAAGCGTCGAGGGAAGGCGAACCTGCTGCTGCTGAACGCCACGTGGACCGAGGTGCAGGACTGGATCTGGCACCGCATCAACCAGCCCGTGCAGGTGGAGAGCGTCACGGGCGTCTTGACGCACTTTATCGTCGAGCCCTTCGTCAAGCACTCGGGCCCGGACGAGCACTACGTGTGCATCGTCTCGAATCGGGACGGAGAGGAGATTTTGTTCCATCACGAAGGCGGCGTCGACGTTGGCGACGTGGACGCGAAAGCGAAGCGGCTGCAGGTCGGCATTGAGTCGGTGGTGTCCGAGGACGAGGTCACGGCTGCGCTCTTGTCGTCCATGGACGACGCCCGGAAACCCATTCTGGCCACGTTTCTAGTGGACATGCTGGCCAAGTTCCGGGACCTGCACTTTGTGTACATGGAGATTAACCCCATTGTACTGGTGGGCGACCAGCTTTTTGTACTGGACATGGCGGCAAAGCTCGATGAGACCGCCAACTTTCTAGTAGGCGATCAGTGGGGATCGATTGAGTTTCCCCCGGCTTTTGGGCGTGCGAAGTTCCCCGAGGAGGAGTTCATCCAGGACTTGGACTCCAAGACGGGCGCTTCGCTCAAGCTCACGATCCTGAACCACACGGGTCGCATTTGGACCATGGTGGCTGGTGGAGGAGCTTCAGTCGTGTACGCGGACACGATCGCCGACCTTGGCTATGGCCATGAACTGGCCAATTACGGCGAGTACTCGGGCGCTCCAAGCGAGACGCACACGTACAACTACGCCAAGACGATTCTGGACCTAATGACGCGCAACTTTGACGAGCGGGGAAAGGTTTTGATCATTGGTGGCGGGATCGCTAACTTCACGGACGTTGCACTGACGTTCAAAGGCATTATTCGCGCTATCACGGAGTACCAGCAAAAGCTCAGGGACAACAAGGTGCACATTTGGGTGCGTCGTGGTGGTCCCAATTACCAGGAAGGTCTAGGTATCATGCGGGATGTTGGTGAGGCTACAGGCGTTCCTATTGAAGTGTTTGGTCCCGAGACGCACATTACGGCTGTTGTTCCGATGGCCCTTGGGCTCGCTGAAAACGTTCCGGCGGTCGCGGCGCAGCCTGCTCCTGCCAGGACTGCTAGTGACAGTAAACTGAACGAGGTTAAGCCATCTGTGGATGATACTAGCGGTGTGAATAGTGAAAATGAGGAAAGCGGATTTGCTGAAGGGCTGGAGAGCAAGGGAGTCGCAACTGCGCAGCCTCCATTGGTAATCCAGGATGAAGGCATTGTGCGCATGGACGACAAGACGCGTTGTATCGTCTACGGGCTGCAGCAGCGTGCCGTACAGGGTATGCTCGATTTTGACCACTTGTGTAAGCGCAAGACCCCGAGTGTGGCAGCCCTCGTCTTCCCGTTTTCTCCCAACCACTACCTGAAGTTCTACTGGGGTACTTCAGAGCGTCTGATTCCCGTCTTCCAAAAGCTGTCTGATGCTGTCAAGAAGTATCCGGACGTGAGCGTGCTGGTCAACTTTTCATCATTTCGGTCTGTGTACCAGTCGACGATGGAGGGGTTTGAGCACAGCGACACCATCAAGACACACGCGATCATTGCCGAGGGTGTTCCAGAGCAGCAGTCGCGTTTGATTGCGAAGAAGGCTCGTGAACTGAACGTGGGTCTTATCGGTCCCGCCACGGTTGGTGGCATCAAGCCTGGCTGTCTGCGTATCGGTAACACAGGTGGTATGCTGGACAACATTGTGCAATCAAAGCTGTACCGCCCTGGCAGTGTGGCATACGTGTCCAAATCAGGTGGTATGTCCAACGAGCTGAACAACATTGTCTCGCAGACAACGGATGGTGTGTACGAGGGTGTGGCCATTGGTGGTGACAAGTACCCGGGCTCCACGTTCATCCAGCACCTGCTGCGCTATGAGGCGAACCCGGAGGTGAAGATGATGGTTCTTCTTGGTGAAGTTGGTGGCACTGACGAGTTTGCTGTCTGCCGTGCCATACAATCGGGTGCCATCAAGAAACCGGTGATTGCCTGGTGCATTGGTACGTGTGCGAAGATCTTTCCGTTTGAGGTACAGTTCGGTCACGCCGGTGCTTGCGCTACGGGTGAGTCCGAGACTGCTTCGGCCAAGAACGCTGCTCTGGCTGCTGCGGGCGCTATCGTTCCGAAAAACTTTGATCAGTTCGGCAGCGCGATTCGCAAGCAATTTGACTCGATGGTCGCGTCGGGTATGATCGTGCCACGTCCGGAGGTTCCGGTCCCTAAAGTTCCTATGGATTATGCCTGGGCGAAAAACCTCGGCCTCATTCGTAAACCGGCGAACTTTATCTCGTCCATTTCGGATGATCGTGGCGAAGAGCTACGGTATGCTGGGACTCCCATCTCGAAGGTGTTTGAGCAAGACATGGGTGTTGGCGGCGTGATCGGTCTTCTGTGGTTCAAGCGCAACCTGCCGCCTTATGCCTCAAAGTTCATCGAGATGGTACTTATGGTCACGGCTGACCACGGCCCAGCTGTGTCGGGTGCCCACAATACGATCGTCACGGCCCGCGCCGGCAAGGATCTGATCTCTTCGCTGATTTCGGGTCTAGTGACGATTGGCCCCCGCTTTGGTGGTGCTTTGGACAAGGCTGCCGAAATGTTTGCGAGTGCGCATGACTCGGGTATGTCCGCAGCTGATTTTGTGAGTGAAATGCGCAAGCAGAACAAGCTGATTATGGGCATTGGCCACCGCATCAAGTCGTTGTCGAACCCGGACAAGCGAGTTACGATCATCAAGGACTTTGCCAAGGCGAACTTCCCTGCCACTGATGTGCTGGACTTTGCATTGAAGGTGGAGCAGGTGACCACGAAGAAGCGCAGCAATCTTATTCTGAACGTGGACGGTTGTATCGCAGTCTGCTTTGTGGATTTGCTGCGCAACTGTGGTGTATTCACGCTCGAGGAGGCCAACGAGCAGATTGAGAACGGCTGCCTCAACGGGCTGTTTGTGCTCGGTCGTAGTATTGGTTTTATCGGCCATTTCCTCGACCAGAAGCGTCTCAAGCAGCCGCTCTATCGCCATCCGTGGGACGACATTTCGTACCTGAACGAGGAGCTCTAGATACGAGGATATTTACTCGTGTAGTACGCGTCAAAGTGGACGCTAAGCAGTAACTTCTGACATGTGTGTTCTTATGGTACGACTCGGTTCGTGGCTTGCGTTTAACGAAGTAGGTAGCGCTACCACTTTATGCGCATCAATGCGTCTGGTATCGCTGATGTAGTTTCAAGTCTCTGCTTGTGCTGCATGCCTTCGAATTGTTCAAAGATGACCATTAAAGTCCACAAAGAGGAGAATATCGGACTGGAAACGTATTCGGACCAAGACGAGCTAGAACAATACCACGTGTCTCGCTCATCATCGTCCACAAAGCTGATGTCTTGCGAGATCAAACACAAATCGCTATCGTACTCATGAATTGAGAGCCCTGAAAGCTTTCGTTGTCAATTTTAAACATTTGTAGGATTAGATCCAGCTGCAAACACGACATACTTGGAATAGTATCGCGACTACTGCAAAAAAATTTTGTTGTCAATGAAAGGCCTTATTAGTGTGTAACGCTGCCATGTGAGCTTTACCAAGATATTGCGTGGCCGTGTCAGCCCTTGGGTCACGCCAGCATCACAAGAAAACTGGAGACGTTCTTCTACCAGGTCCTTCATGTAAACAGAATATCATGTAGAATTGTTTTTAGTCTGTCGTCGGTGCAACTAGCTCTGATTCTAGAATACCCCTTTGTCGCATCAAAAGTATAAAAATACCTGCAAGCTTAAACACCCGATACATGTACCCTCGCGTTCATCGTTCAGTGCATGAGTTAAAAACGTCTAGTAACAATCTGACAGTCAAAATGTACCCATCGGGTCGGGATTCTGTACAAAAGTGTCATAAATATCGAGCGGTTGATCGAAGCGGAAGTTGAACAGTCGTCGATGCATTAGTTTCGACATCGTGCTTGGTCCCTTTGTACACCTAGCTTGAACTTGTTCGAGGCCGAAAGAAATGAGTGGCACGGAAGGGTGTGAGACAACAGTAGACATCGATGGTTTGGCAATCCTCTACAAAGATGAGATCCTGGATCAACGCGTACGTGCGTAGAAGAGAATGCTCACCCATGCAAGTTTTCGATGTTAAGTCTTGCTCGTGAGAAGCAACTGGAATTGCGAAGTGTGTCGGTATTTTTGTACGGGTGGCAGATGCTGGGTTGGCAGATCAGGGTCGTGCTTTGAGCCACTTCTGACCCACTCACCTTTCCACTGATGCTGACATCAACAGAGTGCTCCACGTGATGTTTTTTCTACGGGATCTCCACCGAACGAATGACGCAGCATCACTCGCGACTTTTGCTGTAATTTTCTCAGCTTCCCATTCAGCTTATCCATGAACAAGATTTGACACCTCGGATATTTGCTAATCCTGAAGCAGCAAGCTGCTTTGCTTGATAGGTCATCATGGCTACGTAGTGCCGTATGCGTGTGGGTCGATCGTTACGATGATGATATTGCGTGCATCGCACCACTAAAATACTGCGTGACGATAGGTCAATCTGACACATCTTGTGACTGATCATACACGAAGCACGATATGCTCCATCCGCAAAAACAACGTTGCGCTCAATCATAGCAGTTATCGATTCACACCACACCTCGACTGCATACTAAAAACGTCTTTGAAGAACCTCGTCATATCCCCCCACACAACTCGAAACAAACACTTCCCGGATTCACGCCATCATGGCAGACACCGAGACCGAAGCTCCTTCTCGTCGTGCCACTCAGCGCCTCGATCAACGAGCTCCGCCCTCTTTGCGTCTGCTGCTGCGGCTCTTCTCAGCGCTGGAGTTCGGACTGGGCACGTTGATGTTGTACCAACACACGCCCGACTTCGCCGCCGTCAAACGCGCTGTCGAGAGCTCGTGTCAGTTCAGTTTTAACCCTGTGCATTTGCAGCAAATACTCCATTTCCTGCCGGGTGCTTATGACCTCAAGTGGATAAGAAACACGTGCACTGCTCGCCGTCAAGCACAAGAAGAAGGTGGCGACTCGCTCCTGGCCCAGCGTCAGCGACTCAAACACCAGCCGCCAGTGCTAACACTACGGAAGCAGCAATTGCCACCTCCCAATACTGACTGCGAGAGCCTCCAGGCTCGCATCGCACTTTTTGTCAGAAAGGTCAATGCCTTTTTGGAGGGACACGTGAACGCTATTCTGAACGAGTTTCCAGACATGACCGACGATGAGATGAAAAATGCGCTGAAACTTGTAGAGATCGAGAAAGCTCCACTGCCTAAAATGCCAGTGGAGATAGCAAACGAAGGAATTACTAAAACGAAGTTGCTAGCTCTTAACGGCAACAAGGAGCATCCAATCGCTGCGACATGCAGTAAAGCCGGTAGGAAGTTGGCGGAGGAGCTGGCAAAGCCTGTGCCACAAAACTTACAGTCACTACCGCAGTGGCTCATTGACAAGGTCCGTGAAAAGGAGGTGGGGCACAAGGCTGGAGTAGAAGAAGATGCCAGGGCTATGAAGAAGCGGCTCTTGTTGACCCTGCCACAGCTCAGCGACCAGTTGCAGTCGCTAGTGATGGTAACGAGGAAGTCTAGTTTCTCCAAGGTGTTTGTTCTGCGCAAACTGGCGGTACGGGCTCCGATCAAGGGCAAAGTTGAGCACCAGCTATACTTGCTGGAGTCGCTGGTACCGGAATGGCTGACGGTGGTTCTTGTTGACGGCAACGAGTACATAAAGGTTTCGACTAGCTGCAAGTACAACGCAATCAAGGCCTCACTTCGTCGCGCGATATCCATTCAAGTCTAATCGAGATGAATCGAGCAAAGCACTAGCTAATCGCGTTCGTTCTCCATCTGGATCCTTGACACGGTACTACGTTACTTATCAAGTCTTGGTTGCCCTAAACTGGCAACTTTCCGGAATTTCGATGCAAAATTTGCTGGCAGGTGAACGAGTGGGCAAGACTAAGCGTTAACACAGTAGTAGTCAAGATCTTCGTTGGTAGAAAGCCCAAGCCAGACGACAGAAAAGGCGCGACGAACCTGGCAACAGCTCTTTAACCGCGTACTCGTTGTAGCATAAATGGCTTGGCATCGCTCTTAGTCGTGTTGAAACAGATGGAGGCTTGCTGACCAAGAAATAGACTATTGCGTGCTACAAGCCTGGGGCTGCAGAACTACGTAGACAAGTGATACAGGGCGTTGCTTCCACGATATCAGCTGCATGGAAAGGTACAAGTCTTCAGCAACTTCTGCGATCGTGTCGCTATAACCAGCTCATGATTAAGGAAAAATGAGACGAGCGATGGCCGTTATTTAAGCTGAGCGTATCCTGAATGTTTATCAACCATGGGATACTTTTGGTCTGCTGTCGACCGCTATTCTCCCTCTAGTTACGTGGCGGGTAGCTTTGCAAGAAGATTCTGCCATTTTCGATGCATTCCACAGCTAAATTCCTGATCCCATCCATTGGATCAACATTCCTGTTCTTGTGTAGGACCTGCAGCCGATACAACTCTTCCAAAGCTGCTGTGAGGGCTGCATGTGTGATTTAAATATCGAGTTGAGGACTGCCGTCCTTGGTCGTGGACTTACATCAGGTGACAACCTCGGATGGCAAATACGTTGTCGCCCGTTTGCTCAGGGAAGTGTATTCGAGGCACTTTTCGTTGCGTCTTTCTTTCATCATGTCACAAACAAGCAATCAGCAGAAACGATACGCAATGGATCAGTTCACACCATTCATTTTTTGTTTACATCCAACAAGTAAGACAAAACCCACAAAGTAGGTACTGTCTGCTTACCACAGAAGGACACTATTGGTGCAGTGAGCTGGTGGTGGCTTGCATAAAAGAGCACTTTACAGCGTCCAAACCACGAACAAAACATTAGTTCTACCATGGTCCAATACCCTAAATTTTTTAAACGAGGTCCTCGTTTAAAGTTTACGGTGGGCTAGGTGCACGAAGTAGTGTAAAATATGAGACGTCTAGCAAAATGGCGACGGTCGAATCAATGATCTAAGTGCTGTGTTTACGCATGGATGTACAATTTGCTTAATACATTGATACGGACGATCCAGTCAGTTAAATGTGGGCTTAGGTCATTCGTGTGTGGAGACGTCTTCGATCAGTCGCAGGTCCAAAGTTCTCTGTGGACAATCAATTGCCAACTGATACCCCTAGTTTGGTGTATGCGACTGACCAGAGCTTCGTCTCTGCGAAGCTGCATCCTTCTCGGACTTTTTTTCATCGTATTGACGACGTGAAAACACTCCAACCCGGAGTGTGGGACATGCTAAGTGTATAAAGCAGAACACATGTAGATTCTGCTAAGGCATGTAATGCCTACACATTCCTCTGGCGTCCTTAAAGAGCGCTGTAGTCTCGACAATTCTTCTCATGTGAGAACGCGAGCAAACTGAGCAGATTATATAGTACGAGGGCGACGCGACGGAAAAAGTTCGCTTGTCGTTCAATCTCTTGCAAACGGTCTCATCTGCTTCCTCCGTGTCTCTCTGCAACTCATCCAGGTAAGTGGTCGCCCTGACTTTCTCGATCTCCTCGTTCGCATCTAGCAATTCATTGATTTCAAGGTGGAAGACAATGTTGATGGTCTCTGGTGAAGCTCTGGTATCGCTGATCTCATTTGTCGTTGGACCCAACTAGTAGCGCTACCGTGGGAGCTGGTAGGATGCCGGTGGAACACTCTGGCTCTGGATCATATTTTCGGTGATTTGCAACGCCACATTAGAACAATCAATGTGATGTTGGTTGGTGTATGTCATATTCGGATGAACCTTTTCGTGGTGGCGATGTTGACCGCGATCTGGTTGAAGATCCATCTACAATGCTTTTGTCCTTGGACTTGAAACTTCGTGTGAAACCGGTGTCCGAGGGCTGCAAAACGCATATATTCTTGCTGAACGTAAAGCAGTCACGCAAATTTGCAGTCAAATGATGTCGTGCGACGTTGTGTTGTCGAAGTGCAACAGATATTTGCATTCATGCATGTGCAGTCAGAATCAGTGCAGCCACCCTTGAAACACGACACACGTTATGGAGAATTTCAAGTGTAGTCATACAGGATGCCAAGCCAGTCACTCTTTTTTCAAGTTTGTACCCGTGCTGATGATTACAGGTGCCATATCCTCCTCTCCTGTCATACCACAGCACGAAACAACAGGGTTAAGCTTTGTCCGTCTTCATGCCAAGTATATCCACGTACTGAGCGTCGAGTCGGGCCGCATTCTCTAGAAAATTCTCGTGTCGGACAGACCGACAAACCGTCAAGCTCGTAGTCAGTATGATAGTTTGACGTACCTTATGCTTGGTGCAACCGCGACGAGATCATCGAGTCGGACCGGGGGAAGATTGACACCGCAATTGGTCACTGCAGCGAGTTTTGAACCCAAGAAGGTGACACCTGTCGGGGGTGGATTTGCTTGCCTGCCGTCACTCGAAACAGCCAAATGCATTACAAAGTCGACGTTTCGTGCATGTAACAAACTAAAACAAGCGTGCCTCCGTTAAGGAGAACAGAAGCTGATATTAGCGTTCGGCGCTCGTGTGGTAGCGAATACCGAAAAATGCAGACATGATACGGATGATGGACGAGCGCTCGACGGTCTTTCCGAACTCGGAAAATGCCTACGACGCCATGTCCTAGTGCCAGAGATGTGGGAAAGCATGGAGTGCGAATTGGAGATAACACCACCGAAAGCTGGGCAATACTTGTGATGCTTTTCCAACTGCCGTAAGACTTCCAGACACTCTTTCTGTCTATTTATCGTCCAAAACTGTTTGGTTCAGATCCGTGCAGTAGGACAGCGCTCGTATACCGTTGTTGCTTTTGTGTCGGGTACCTTACACGCAATCGACTACTTTGCATAGTACAAGGACCGAGGACGGCATCTTCACATCACCCTCTCGTTTGCAGGCAATGTGTTGACGCTTTTTTACTTCTCGAAATGCCAACAGCTAAGCCATCATTTTGCGTAATTTGCAACTGATACTTTAACGACATTGCCATTTGACGTCAATTGAAATCTCAATCATCAGTCGCACCGGTAGTGGCCGCTCTTGCCCCAACCTCTTGGGCATCTGCGCCTTTCCTTCGTTGATCTGCAAATTCTCATGACATTGACAATCCAAGCTGTAATGGCCATTTGATGAATGTGCGTTAGTGCTCTATGTTTTGATGCGATCCGAGTCGTCTGTTGCTTTGAAGCCTTGTCGTCATAGCCATGATGGACTTCGTCGTGTAGCGTACTGTCTTAGAAGCACGAATGTGTCCAGGCGTTCATCACAACTATGTGGCGATGAGTATCCAGTCTTCTGCGCGACCAATCCAATTACAGTGATCCTGGGGCTAAACGGTACTCGAACATCTCCGATATTTGTGTCGTTCGTGTTCATCGTTGACGTGTCTGGCTGCAATTCAGACAAGTGGCAGCGTCGCTACAGTCGTGATGCGCTTCCTGCAATTGACTTCGTCGTCATGTCGACTGCTCTTCATGTCAATAGATATAAGTGACGACAGGCACACCATGTTACAAACGCACGTACGTGGTCCAAGCACAGCCGATCGGAGAGGTCAACTGTCAGTCTGTACTCTCGACACGACCGCAACCAGTCGCAACATTGATACGACTAAACCATGCGAGTCCATCTTTCTGCGATAAAGATTACATCCGATTTACTCGTGATGGTCGATCCACTATTCGGGCTCTAGCGTGACTATCGCGTACCTGTGACTCATCCTGACTCAACCGGCGACGTCAAAAGTTCGACCATTCTGCCACTTTGACGTGCTGGCACTTGAGGGCCGGTGTCCAACCCTGGCACTTGACTTGCGATTTGTATCGCGATGTCCACTGGCTGGAAACAACTTCAGAAATAAGCACTTGAGCTCGCCATCCCCAGCTCACTTTGAAATTCGGCCTTCCTCACTCTCCCCCAACGCCATGAAAGTCGTTGTCGTGGGCTCTGGCATTGGCGGCATCTCCGCTGCGTTCCACTTGGCCAGAGACGGCCATGAAGTGGTGCTTCTCGAGAAAAACGCAGCGATTGGGGGCCACACGCACGGACTGGAGATCGATGGCGAGATGGTCGACATCGGCTTCATGATGTTCGGGGACTCGAACCCCAACATCAAAGAATGGTTCAAATTCCTCGGGGTCACGCAACCCGATGGCACCACGAGGAAGCGCATCCCCATGAGTCTCACCGTCACTTCAGACGTGCACGGGGACCTGCAGTTCTCGTCCCGCGCCCCGTTCCACGGGAGTGTCCTCAACTACTTTGACCGCCGCATCTGGCGCGTGCTCATCGACATCTACAAATTCACCATGGACCTGATGCAAATGCCGGTGAAGAAGGCCATGACAACCCGGGAATGGGCTGCTAAAGGTCGGTACTCGAACGAGTTCATCCGCCACTACTTCCTCGCTTTCGTGTCGATCCTCTGGACAGTGCCAAAGGACGACGTGCTGGACCTGCCCGTGACGCAGTTCCTCCGATGTCTCAAGACACACTCCAACTCGCTCTATATCCCATTGTGGCAGGTGATTCTCGGTGCCCTGGGCCGTCGCACGGATCGGCCCAAGCACCTCTGGTGGTTTCTTGGCTCGGGTTACATTGACCCTTTTCTCAAGGTGTTTACCCAAGAGTACAACGGTACGGTCCGCTGCAATGCGACGGTCAACCAGGTTGAAAGAGGTGGCAAGGCTGTGGTGTTTGAAGATGGCGAGCGCATTGAATGCGACCACGTTGTGCTCGCTACGCACGCCGATGAGAGTGCGGAGCTCCTTCGGTGGAGTGACGAGGCGCACCGCTCACTGATGCGGTTCCGCTTCCACAAGAGCATGATTTACGTCCATCGCGATCCAGTCATGCTGCCGCCCTCGAACAAGGTCTGGAGCAGTTGGAACGTCTGCATCACAAAAGACGAGCAGTACATCCTGACGTACTGGATCAACCGTATCCAACGTCTGAACAGCAAGAAGAATGTCTTCGTGACGATCGCACCGCATAACTTCCAGGGCCAACGTCCTGCTTCTGAACAGACGATCTCTGCTTTCCGCTGGGACCACCCGCGTTTACTCGCAGACTGCATTCCGCAAGACGAGATTATCCAGGAAGAGGGCATCTCTCTTTCTGGTGCTTGGCTGGGTCGTGGCTTTCACGAAGATGGGTTTGTTGCAGGGCGTCGAGTGGCAGCGATCCTCCGCGATCCGAAGCACAAGAAGACGGCCTTGTACGAAGACCCGGGCAACATCATAGTACCAGCTGTACCTGCTTTTGGTATCCCGTTGAGCTTATACCTGTTTGGAGTGACTGCATGTGGCCTGGTAGGCTACGGAGCTGCCAAGCTGCTGAAGATGGAATAGAGCATGATGTTGTTTGGATGCTGTCGAGCGTATCGTTGCTAAGTGGCTGCATGGTGTTCAGTATGCATTTAAAATCAACTGCATTCACCTTCTCCTCGGTAAGTTGTATGTCTGCACATGCTACAATCGGAAGAGGCGTCATCCTCCAGGCGTCATGCGGCCACAAAATCGGCAAGGTGCTCGTTCGATAACTCCATGGTGGGTAGTTGTCGTTGATACAGCAGCAACGGCTCGATGATGCGGGGGCATTATACACCGCTAAGAGTTCTAAGGTCTATGGATTGATCGGGTACCACATAGTAAGCAAAAGTCCAGTCATCAGCTTGGGCACAGTTCCGACTTTCAAGTCTTCCTATCCATCCAAAGATGATCTCACGTCCAGGGTAAACAGTGGCGTCATCCTCATGGCCTGAGCTGTTTTCTGCTCCGTCAACAGTACAGCATCAGCCCACGACCTCGTAGGAAAGAAAGGTTTAGTATCTTCAGTGCACGTGCATCCGGATTTAACTTTCTTTGCAACGAAGCACAGGCGCATCCGCTGGAAAATGCGATGTCTCATCTAAACAACGGAAGGGAACCTTCAGCTCCGATGAGCAGTTTAGCCGCATGAACGTCAAGCACTCGAGCGACGTCTTTTTCTGCGCTGGATCGATCTCGGTGCCATCTACTTAACAGTGAACCACATCAAAAGTGTTGCAGCTGCAGGCCGCTTCAAGCTGCAGACAGCAAATGCGCGGCGGTGTATGGACCTGAATCTTGACTCTAGAATTATGACCAACGCATTAATGCCATATGATTTACGATGTGTGTCCGCAGCAGTTCTACTACCAGCAAGGCCATACACCAGACACACAAGCGCTTTCTTTCGAGTTATGTCCCATGTATATCCTGCCTCATCTTATGTTAGAACGCACATCTACTTCCTTCCGTCCGGGCTCGAAGACTCGAGATTGTAGGTTCACCTTATGCCGCTATGACGTGAGTCTTTCAGTGCATAGCTTGCTTTTACAAACCCTCATGTCGCAACCGCTCGATGCAGTGACTGACTGCTGGTTGACACTATTCTAGACTCTAGATGCAACATTTGTGTCATCACTGAATCCTGTATCTGAGGGCTCTTTCTTCGCTAAATGTAGCTCCCGATCTGTCATTGACCAGAAATAGTCTAGAGCTCAAAGCTACCAATCGCACAACGTACATGATAGAAAAAGTACTTTTAACGCATGGTGGTAATGTGCTTTTACAAGTTGCAAAAGTACGTTGCCACCATGTAAGCGAACGAGGCTCCACCACTAAAATGACATTTAGACCATCCCTACCACTGCTGAGAGGGTCAATGACGTCGACGGTCGTTCGAACTGTGGCGGGCATCGGCGCGCTGGTTTTGTACGGCAGCTTCACTGGTTACATTTTTCGTAACCTTGGTCCGACGGGTGCTACCGAAAATGATGTCTCTCACACAAAGCCTTGTTCTCCGACCTTGTGATGAGGTTTTTCGTCCTGCCATTCAGCAACATAACAGGAGTTTGACAGAGCTCTTCTGTCGCGCAATATCGCCATACATTCCGTCTCGTGAAGTAACATGAACGCGCCGAACCGCAGCGACGCATACTTGCTTCCCGAGGGCGCTCAAAAGGTCACGTACGAAAAAGACACCAAGATCTCCAACGCCGGCAAGTTCACGATCTTGCGCGAAGACCACACGATCGGCAACCTCATCCGCATGTGCGTGTCTCGTATAAGTATACATTCCAACTGAGAGGTTTAACTAATTACTACACCGAGGGACTGTAGGCAGCTGCTGCGTGACCCGAACGTGACGTTCAGCGGCTACCGGCACCCGCACCCGCTGATCCATGACATTACAGTGCGCGTGCAGACGAACGACGCGTCATCGCCCGTGGAGGCGCTGGCCAACGCGCTGGACGACCTCAGCACGGAGTTCGACGAGATCGCGCAGAAGTTCCGACGCCTGACGGGAAACTCGAAGGACCCTAATTCGTTTAGTTAGGACACTTTATTTCGTCGACTTTATTTGAGTTACCAATAAGGTTTTGATACGGAAGATGATAGGGTGCTTTATTGGCGAACGACATTGCGAGTCTCGGGGCTGGGCTGATGATTGTTGTTGATAAAGTGGGAGCGTTGATAAAGCATTGGAACTTCTCCTATCTCGTAATACACGCAACGGGTGCAAGGACAGAACGGGTAAATGTGGACGCAAAGTATGACACGATGAGGTGGATCGTGAGAATGCTAAGCAGGAGGTAGCTGTCGTGTGGATGTGGAAGGGACTGAATTTGCTCAGACTTGGAGGGGCAGGCGCGGCGCGACTTACCTCTCGCTACGTGATTCTTGACACGTTTTTGGCAAACCATCAGAGCGAAGAGAGTATTTCTGAATGGCAGAATCGCATCTGCGTATCGTTTGCACCTTGTCAAGTCAGCGCCATTCGATCGGTTGACGAAAGTTTGAATGGTACCGACAGGTTGACGAAAGTTTGAATGGTACCGACAGGTTGATACTAACGGCTTTGTCCGAATGGACAAATGATGAAGTAGCAGTGCAGGTGAAAAACATGTAGGTCGACAATCGACCACAAAAGAGGATACAATATTGTCCATGTCATCTTCTGAAGCAACCGCTACAGCAAGACAGCCAGTAGGTACATGATTGTTGTACATACACCACTCTACTCATGGTTACAGGCTGGCTCTGCTACCCACGCTCATCAAAATAATAATACGTTAATCGTAAATGAGACTTCGCCATTGCCAGTGCACAATGCAATTGACAAATTCTGAAATCGACCGCCGCTGCGCAAGAGTGAACTCCTTATTCGTCGGCTCCTCACGGCGGCAGATCTCCACGCACACGTCACCTTCAGCCACTCTGTCAACACCACTTGCATCGATCGGCTCGCTAGCCCTGCCGAACTGGTTGCCCAATATACTAGAGCTTCTGCTAGGACTGTTCATGCTTGCGTTGCTATTTCCATCCACTGCATCGTCTTGTTCGGCTTGCACCATCGCTTGGTCCTTCGATGTGATGAACGTCAAGTGTATGACAAGATCAAACGTGTCAGGACAGAGCAACAGCAGGTGGCTGCTATTCTCGTCCTCCTGTTCAAACTGGAACTCGCGAAGCTGATCAGCGTATAAATCACGCAGCCGCATCGCTAACTCCTGCCAGCAGACACCGGATACACGTAGCAGCTCGCCGAGACGCGGGTCCAGCAATTCCAGGGGAGTACGAATTGACAACCGCAAGCACTCCTCTAACTGCTGTGGTCCTATTTCTGCACGGAACAAGTCCGATGGTAGCGTCAGCGTTGGAGCCAGATCGGCCTCGGGATCACGCGAATCGTCAAACAGTAGCCGAGACCATAAGAGATCACGCTCATAGTGGTGAGTTGCTACGCGAAGTAGCTCTCGGGTAAACAGCTGGGCTTCCTGCAACGCCCGCTCCACCGGTAGAACTTCGCTGCCCACACCTGATTCCGAGGACGTACTTTTGAGTAGCAATAGCTGCACCACGTCCTTGTCGACACACTCATGAGTCAAGGATTGCGTTGTGATGACCAACGAATATCCAGCATAAGCTTCAGCGTGGCCACCCGGCATGGATGACGTCATGGTGCCCGGTGATCGATTGAAAAAACTGCCTGACAGAGAATGACAAACGACAGCGTCCGGCGTGCCGAACTGCAACAGATCCAGCACGTCGTAGCGTGAGGCGTGACACGCGATGTATCTCAGCAAGTTCTGCACCAAGATCAACTCGGAGCAGTTCGACTGTCGAAAGCTTGGTAGCAGTGCAACCGTCGCCACTCGTAAGACACAATCATGCCAGAGCAATGACAGAGGCGTTTGGTACTTCTGTGTAGCTGCTGACGCGGACGAAGTCAGAGGTACTGCAGACTTATCTAAGGCTCCTGACGCCGCCGGAGGCGTAGGGTGATCAGATGCTGGTTGTTGCTGATGTGTTTTTTTCGCGACTCGCCGAGCAAACCTTGTTACGACGCGGGATGTTGGTCGATGACTATCGCGACCCGATGGTGCGGAAGCTGTGCAACTCGAAGAGGCTCTCGAATCGTTGAGCTGGTTTGCCCTTACTGTGTTGTTGCTGCCGTCAGAAATCGGAATCGTGGATAACGGTGTCGGCACCACTGCGCTTGACTTCATGGTTTTTTCTGGCGGATCCGGAAATGCGACTAAAAATCTCTGAAGTCCTCTGACGATGTTTTGAAAAGTAGCGGCTTTCTTCCACGGAACTAGTGATGCACTCACTATCGCATCATCCTCACTGAGGTGTTTGTCGTCGCAGTGTCCATGCCTATCATGTCTATGATGGAAATCATAAGAAGCGTTAATCCACAGAAGTATGTGCTGCTGGAAGTAGCGAATAGTGAATCCGTAGATCAAGGCCTGCGTTTGCAATTGGGCGCGTAGCCACGCTGCTACGCAATAAACTCTGAGTCCCGACGTCGCAGCTGTGTACTTACCGGCCGTTACTGCCAAAGGGGTCTGCAACTGCAGGTCCTGCTGCTCCAAGTCGTGCAAACTTACGAGTACAGCAATCAGCCGCACACCGCGATTGTCGCACCTGACTTCCAAAAGCACAGTGGCTAGCGAGAAGGAATCGCTGCAGCTTTCGTTCGAATCCACATTCCATCCTTCACCATTTGCGGCTGTCCTTTCAGGGTGATAAAAGTACTCGGAAAATCCCTCTACACCTGGTACTTCATTTTCATTCTCAGCAGCAGCGTGATCAACTGAAAATGCGCGTGCATGTTTCGTACTTGTGTCCAACGTCCTTAGGCGTCGGAATCCCAGTGTGCGCAAATGCACGGCGTATTCTTTGTAAAAATCACTCGCCACTTCCAGTCGCAACGGCTCCATATTGGCTGCAACCTGCTGCCGCATTGCCCAGACATCAGCACCTGTGCCAGCTCCCACGCTCTCAACAGTGTGTTCCGCATAGAGTTTAGCCACAAAGCATTTATCTTGATCAAACATAAACTTTCGTTTATACCGAAGCAAGTGTACCAAATCCAAGCATGACTGCAAGTCACTCAAGCGGTTATCCACAACTTCGACACCTTCGCGCGTTCCTGTCACTTCTACCATTGTCCACTGTTCCACAAAAGCAGCCCGAAAGCGTTGGTGCAGCAAAAGATGTCCACTCTGCATCAAATGCGCCACAACATCCTTCGCGACAGGCTCTTCTGTCGATTCGTTTTTTGCGTCCAAAGACGCAAGCTTCTCCAATAAATGCATGCCCACCGTGTGAATAGTCGAGCGTTTTTCAAACATCTCCCACCGCTTCTCCAGCGCAGAGCAAAAGAACGAAAGAGGTGCCAGAGTTTTCTTAGGTTGCCCTTCATCCTCAGCCTCTTCGAGCTCAATAAAGTGTTGCTGCTGTTCAAGCGGTACGCTTGTAACCCATCGTTCTGTATTTCCAGGAAACACAAATCGAGGTCCCCATGCCACCTCCAACCGTGTTTTCCACGAACTATGGATACGACTCGGATCGGCCAGCAACGCTTCATTGCTACCGATGCGACGAGCAGACGGCTTCGCTAACGGAAGTCCTGATAACGAAGATGAAGACGATGGTAACCCTGAGTCCGTTATGCCACTACCTCGAGACCCTCTTCGAATGTGACAATTCACTCCCCTTGACCTATTTGTCGACGTTGCTGGTTTGACTGTTGAATCAATTTCAGTACCCGCTGTTTGACTTCCATCCCGATCAGTCCTTATCGTAACGTCACTTTCGTCCGCAGTGGTGAGCAACCGTGGTGCTTTCATATTCGACAACGGCAGATCCCATGGTGCGACAGTATCACTGGACATGACTGCTGGGGAATTACCACCAGTTCGCGATGCACCAGCACCTAGCACACCCGTTCGATTCGGGAAGCCACCACCGCCCCGTGCTCTAGCACGTGCTGCCATTAGCGCTGTTGTAGCTCCTGTTCCGCCTCGCATTCGAGCGGCTTCGCCTCGATCCTTACTTGGCAATCGCCTACTTGGTGAGGAGGATGGTACGATATCAGACGCGTTGCTGCTGCTAACAACGCACCCACCCTTGGCCTTTCCAGGTGATTGGCCCCCCAGCAAATTTACTGAGCTGTCGCCGTTGCTCTGGACACTCCTTTGCGATAGGTATTGCTCGGACACTTCCCGTGTAAGGTCTGGAATGCTCGGGGGTCCCACTGAAACACCTAGACATGTGCTACCTTTTCCTCGAGGGCGCTGGTACTGAGTATCAACCAGCGCTGTGGTCGGCTGGGTCTGTGCCTCGCGCAAATAAACTCCGAGGGAGGTACCCTCAACTGCACGCAGGCGAGCTGTATCCAAAACTCTGGGAAACCATTCGTTGGACTGTAGTATTGAAAGCACGCAAGGGCGATACTCTATGAAGTGGACTGCAGAATCCCTGCATAGAACAGACGAATTTTTGCATGAACCCTTTCCAGTATGTTCCATCCTCTCAACGGCCGAAACCAAACCGCTCGGCTGAAGCACTATGGCTCCAACAGGAGCGGCAGTCGAAAGACCAGACTTTTCGAGCAGCAGACTCCTTAGCAGACGTTCGCGAAGTATGCTCCACGTCAGTACTCGCGCTATGTGTGCGGTTAACGCCTCCACCAAAGAGCTGCTCATATTGTATCCGTACAATCGCAACCCCTTACTGATCGACAAATCAACGACGTAATAAAAAGATCGTTTAATCTCTCGGTATTCATGGTTTAGCGATCTTCGCCGACGCCGCTGGGTACTGCAATTATTGACGTAGAGCAACACGTCTCTCTCCGTAACGATCCCCCGTTGGAGATGTGATTGTGACTGACCTCCTCCCATCATTCCGGCCATCGATAAAGTTGTAGAAGACACAGACGGTGAATTTAGTATCTGAGAATTAGCATTCGAGTCGTAGCTTCCGCCGATAGATGCCCATGCGAACGGTGTTCGACCTGAGACCGAATCGATATCGGAAATCTCTGAATGAATCGAATCAGTTCTCATCAACGGCTCGATGTGGTGAGCTGTTGAGCACACTGAAGCTGTCGTTTCTGCATCAGAGTCACTCGAGTCTGCACCTTCGTCTACGTCCGGAGAACAAACATGCTGTACAATAAGCCGAAACTCGGTCGGTGGCGGTCCGCTCATGCGAGAGCTCATGTGTAGTCTTTCATCGCAACTCGAAACAAAATCATAGCTACCTGAAAGTGACTTTGCATAAACCACGGGTCGCAGATGGCGAGGCAAGCAGCACAGGAAACTCCTAACTTGCGCCATAACATTGTTCAGATCCCATGGCGCGACCGACACCTGCCCCCTTAGCTTTGTAACAGAGGACGAAGGCAAGAGACACGCGCTTTTGAAAAGTGACACCAACATGCTGACACCAGAGGGTAAATTCACTTGATTGCCAGAGAAAACTGAGGCTGCTTCACAGGACGCATTCTGTTGCTGCAGATTTTTGATTGTCTCTTCGATGTGGTAGTCATGCACGGCTTCATTCAGAAAAGCCTTCACGACGTAACTCAACTCCACTGCAACGATGGATCCACGAGTCCATATCTGACACCTTGCCACCAGTGCATCGTCGCTGTTTATAGAAGATGAGTACAATACTGCGAGGCTCGGTGTGTCGCGAACCTCTTCCAAGTCTTTGAGCTCACGAACTTCCACAGACTCAGTTGTGGCGAAATTTTTGCGAATAAGGTCCACTCGCATAAGAGCAAGGCCCTTTCCGACACGTGACAAAAAGCCTTGTGAAAGCCGCAAGTCTGGGTTTAAGTTTATCACATATGACGCTTGTGCCACGATTTCAGGAGACGCAACTGTCGAGGTCACAATGTTAGAAGCACCACGCTCACTACCCGTTTCACGTTCCGCTACAAAGAACACTGGCGATCGAGTAGCTGCATCAAATGAAGCGAACGGATCGTCCTCTTTGTAGTTGTTTTTTCTCAGGTAGCTTCCAAAGTAAACGGGATGTATGTGAGCACTGTCGTGGCTCGTGCACAATGTAGTATCTTCTTTAACTTGTGTTGGCACACTTTTTTCTGGAGCCACATCTTTTCCAAAATCTTCATCGAGCAGACCCACGGAGTTTTCTGCAGACGTTACGCTTCCACGCCGAGCCACCCGCCATGAGTTATCCACAGCACCTCGCATGTTCTGCATATGTGCAGACCCACCGCTCGTGACAGGACGGATATATGACGCCAATTTGAGCGTCTGAGACAAGTAGTGCAGCAATACGTAGCAGTGGGGTACTTCACCCGGAAGATTGTAATAGACATCACTTGAAGGTTCGGTCGCAGGAGGACACAAAAAGGCTAGGTCGGACTGGCTCAGCTGGAACTTCGTGTTGCGCGCCAACAGCTTCATAAGTACCATCTGTGTTGCTTCATCGAGTTTTCGCTCCAGTAGATGGCACAGCTCATTGGTCACTTCTTCACCAGCTTCGGACACGCCAAACACTTTTAAGAGAATTCCAGGAGGTCCTCCTGATGCAGTCGTTGCCGCAGAGCTAGTCCCCCCAGCACTCGACCTTGCAGGGCAACCATGATCCGATCTTTCCTTACCGAGCTGACGACCGGCTTCACAAGACAACGTTACATCATAGGAGGTGCTGATCTTCATATAAAACACGTGGCCATCGCGGTCGCGGTACACAAAAAGATGACGCCGATTGTGAACTTGAAATTGCTCCAAAGCTGATGTGCACAACATGTTGAGCGCGAAATTGGGCGTCAAACGCTCATGTAGCTTAAAGAATGCAGAGTAGAACAAGTCACACTCGAACTGACCAGGCCAAAAGAAAATGCCTTGCTTTGTCGGGTCATCCTTTTCATCCGTCGAATCTGAAAGTCGTTGTAAACCAGCTCGTTGCTTGGGCGATTGTGGACACGATGGCGGGTCTCCGTCTGGTGGTAGTAGTAACTTGTTGCAAGTGCGAGTCTCGTGGAGTTGCAGCAAGAGCAAGGACTGATTTACGCGACGGCATATAGCGCGAATTCCAAGTTGAAGGCGAGTAAGCACTTGTAACCGACTTGACCCCTTACCACATATGCCGAAGTAATCATGGTGATGATATCGCAAAGTGATGTGGCCAACTCCGAGTTCGAAGTATGCCCAGTACGGAATTTCAAAAGTCGCGCCAGACCGATTTTCGCTCGCTCCGTCAGGTCTTTCGGTAGACCTTATCGTTTCAACCACGAAATACATACCGTTGCAACGATGAACAGTTAGCAAATCGCCTTTCTCAAGCTCTTGCTTGAATAGATCGAGCGAGGAGGTTGAGGTTTCTTGGCTGCTAGTAACGAATTCGAGCGGATACTTTGCATTTGTTACTGCGAACACAGGCAGGTCATCGAAAAGCCTTCGCACTAGCGCTCCAATTGCCGGCGTAATTTCGTTCGCAGACTTCAAAATTGAAAGAATCTCTACGCTGCACCACTCTTTGATGTCCTGTCGAATGCGTGTTAGTACTTGGCATTGAAAACGATGTAGCGTCGCAAAGTTGGGTGAAATCGACGGCAAAGTGTTGTTCATTCCGGCCTGTTGGCTGCCATAGGTATCCATTACGAATGGCACGTGAGGTGCCACGCGCCGACCATCAATTTCACTTTCGTTAGGCAAAGTCATGGTTACCAAACGCAAAGCAACGCGGCTCGGCGGCACATCCAAAAAGGAATCGGCAATGTGAGAGACACCAGTTCCATTGGAGCAGGGCTGAGATCCCTGGCTATTCTTCAATGATTCTAAAAAAGCGCTAAACTCCTCCTGCCGACTACTTGGCATAGAGACTTGTGGTTGTGCGATCATTTCCTTCCGCACTTCTTCGTACGCAGCGCTACTAGAAGATCGACGCAACAGTGTCGCCAACCCTAAGGCATGTGTGTCGGCGCTATTCGTACGAGTCTCACGTGGAGAATTAAGCACGCGACATTCAAACCTTAAAAAGAATGGTACCGAAAAACTGGACGTTGCGACGGCGACATCTTTGTTAAATTCTGCGTCCTCTTCAACTGTCCCTGAGTTCTCCTCGTTTACCAATCTTTCTTCAGTAGATTCGTCCGCGGAAGGGGATAGATCGCTTCTCAAGCTGTCACGTCTGCTTTGGGCGGAATCTTTCTCGGCAGTATCGTTTTCTCCCTCTGAATTGACGTCTGGTGATTCTTCCAAGCGATGTCGGAAACTTTCGCTATCTTGTTCAGCATCGCTAGAATTAACGTCCTGCTCTCGAAGAGAATACGTGTCATCGTTACCTCCGCGTCGCTCACTGTTTCGGCTTTCAGCCACTGCTTCGTCGTCATCTGAATCTTCCATGAGAATATGCAGCTCGAATTCATTCGCAGTAAGGTCTTCATAAATTGTGTTTTCATCCCCCGTAAAAAAATAATACTTCGTGCCGGTTACAGGAGCAAAAACACTCGATAGAATCGTTTCAAAAGATTTCGTCAGTTTTTCCTTCAGAATGTCTGCGCCCATACCAGCAGAAATCACGGCTGCAGCTGCTGGACTCAAAGGGGAAATTTTCCGTGATGCAGCAATCTCCATCATGTGATACAGAAGTGTGACATCAAAATCCACAGGGATCTCGACACAGCTTGAAAGCGCCTGCAGCAAATCGCTGTGCTGGACCGTGCCCCCTGCGCGAAGCGCCATGTAAACACCGCGAGAGAAGTTATGCTCATGTGCTCGTTTGATTTTTTTGCGAAACCGACGAGACTCAAGAACACTATCAGCACTTAATTGATGCTTTTTCGAACTAGATAATGACCGGGCAGGAGATGTTTTGTGCTGACCACGACCGAGTGGTATCATCGCGCGATCCCTCGTCAGCTTTTTGTCGGTTCTTGTCGAGAAGAACAAATGCCTCAAAACAGTCTGAGAGGAATCCACACCATTACACGTCTGCTTACTAGTGTCGTGTAAGTCTGTTGATAGCCTCGAAAGTGAGCACTCATAAAATGCAACTTGAAAGAAGCCTGAGCCCATCACTCCATCGGCACTTTCAATCAGTAGGTGAAAATCACAGCCGTACGACGCTTGGCGGCTAATCTCTTCACAAAATTCGTGATCTTCGGGGGTCGACGGGAGGCGAAGTTTTCGGAAATCACGCCCATAACTCTGCTTCGCATCGCGAGATCCTTGATAATGACCCATTCTCCAGGACTTATACCCTTCGCGGAAGCTGCGCCGGCGTTCTTGATATAGCACAATATCATCTGCAGACACGGACATCCGCACCCCTCGCGAATTTGGTCCGTCCTCTTCAGCTGACTGTACCGAAAACTGTTGTGAAAGTGATTCATCCCCGGACGACATTCTAAACTTATCAAACCTTGTTTCAAAAAGCGGTTTGTCTTCTACTTCACCGTTACTTTTCGATGACGGTTCTATGTCTGTTTTGTTTTCAATCTGTAGAGTATTTAACGAAGGAAAGAATGCCAGCACCACACAGTCGCTGCTCACAAGTTTAGCAAAGCACTTTCCTTTACTCAAAGCATGGTGCGGCTTCCTAGATTCAAAAGTCAACGACAATTGTTGCTTAAGCCACAGTGGCAGCTGTCCATCCATACCTGCCTTGTCAAATCGATCACCGCTGCTAGGTGAAGTCATACCTTGATCCGCTACGTTGTCCCCGTTGTAGTCTGCCCATGACACTTCGCAATCACTCAGACCTCGCAAAGTAACTTCAAGCATCGAATAAAGGTTTTCATTGGCTGGTGAGACTGGAAACTCCAAAATTCTCGACTCATCCACCCTACTCGTAAACTCTTTGTCACATTGCAAATACATCAGAAAATGTTCTGTTGACCGTTTTGAAGTCGCCAGAAGTCTCGCTGTGCTGAATGGAGGAAGGATCATGCCACTTTCCGCCGCAAGTTGCCGATCAACACTCCAACTGGAGCCGATGACACCATCAATATCCGTATTCGATTGATCAGACTGGTCGGTATTCTCACGAAAATGTATGATGCAATCAAATGTATGCATGCATGACAGAAAGTGGCGGTCGCTCTTATACAGATACCCACGGATTAAATGCAGCAGTTCGCTTTCATCCAAGTACGTGAAATCTCCATTTGAGTCAGTGTTCGGGCCTTCCTGCTCCACAGACTTCACGTCGTCATCCACAGAAGAATTGTACGTATGCCCGACAGTTGCTCGAGTGCTACTTCGATGGGTATCTCCTTCATAGCTTTCGAACGGTGTGTCATGGCCGATAGCTTGCTTCAGACTCCAGTGAAATTTGTCCTTGCGGTCAGCTTCATCCGACAATCGGGTTTTTACAACGCCGTGCTGAGGTTCCATCCAGAAAGACGTCATGAGGCAAGTATCTGAGACACGACGGAGACCATATTGTACGAGGGCCGTTTTTATGCGTCCGTTCTCATTTTCCATCAAAATTTCCCGCCCAAAAATCACGCTTTTAACATGCGTGCCTTGTTCATCATCACCTTCCGATATCTTCCAGTCCAAGACCCAAAACCCACAACTGACGCGGGCCTCATGAAGCCGCCTCATAACATTCGACATCGCCGCCAAGTTTGGCACTTCCCATTTCCAACTCGAGTGCCACACGTACGCACCGAACACTCGATGAAGCTTGAGCTCGCTGCCACCGCAACACGTATTCGATGGAGGCAAAACTCCTGCATTTTGATCAGCATCCAATGTGGGCGATGCCACGTAAAAATTGAAAGGTCTTGATTTTTGATCGTTGCCATGAAGAAGAAGGGTGTCATGCGTAACAAACAAGCGACTTAGCATCCGGTGACAGAGAATGACTGGCGTTTCTGTCAGCGATGACGAGAGCAGCTTGGATGGAGTCGGCACAGCGACTTCGTATATCCCAGCAAAAATTGTGCTCTTCAGATCATCCAAAACTTGTCGACGTGTCGATGCTTTTGTCGCAAAGAAGGCCACGTGAATTGCGCACAATGTCTTGTTCTTAAATTCGAGTCGAACAAAACAAAGAGCTGCTTTACTTTCGTTTGCGCTGCTGCTATCTTCGCCATGCATGACACCTTCACCAATGCTGCTATTCTGACTGCGCTGTCGACGTCGCTGTGCAAGCCCTCCATACGAGGTGATAGTAGACGGCAAAATCTTGGCCTTAGGCGGGACGTGACCCTTATCCTTTATCGTACTAGTTGGACGCAGGAACTTTAGAAATAAATCCTGAGACAGTTTTTGCGAAGACCAATTAGTGAGAATTGCAATCAATGGCTCAGCACAGCTCTCTATCCCGATCGAGACGTGCCCATTGCTTGTACTATACGCACTTGCTCCATGGCTATGGATCATTCGTGACGAGTTTTCAGGGCCGCGCAAGCGCAGGCCCACACTCCCGCGGTTCTCTGTATTGTCCGTCGCACTACGATAAAATAAGTCTGTACACGCATCACTCTTGACCACAGAGAGTATTTCAAATCGCTCCAGGAAGAACCAGCGGTGCCAGAGCAAAGTAGAGAGGTCACCAATAATGTTGAACACAGGGTGAGAACTTGTAATCTTCGGATTCGCTGCTGCTGATGTTGGGTTCGTTCCGAAAGAAAACTGGTTGACAGCCGAGTCGCTGGTTTCACGGATGCTCGTAGTGGCAGTCATTAAATGCAACAGCACGCGATCGACGTCCTGAACACTTCGGACAAAGTCATGTATAAATATTGGCGAGGCAATGGAAGGGTCTTCCCCGATCGCAGCCCTTCGATCTCCACTTGCTGACAAGCGCTGCATTGCGTTTTCGAACGCACGAAGAAAGTCGGCGTAGCCCAAAATGTTCATTTTGACATACCACTCACTCCACGCTGCTCCCTTGTCGTTGGAAAGAATAGCAGCGCTTCTTGCTGCTGTCGGCGAGATCAGACCGCTGACACCCTGTCCACTTACTCGTCGACCGGTGGCCGCACTTGCCGACGACTTTGATGCGGCTGAGTTTTCGATCGTCGTTGAAACCACATATTCGAGCCAGACATTTTCTTTCCATTGTAGTAAAAACACAAACAACAACTTGGTGGCTTCGCTCGACTGCTCGCTACTATTGCTTGGGGGTGCATTGCCATCCCTAGGAGAGCCGACACCGGCCTGATTAAGGCCTCCCTTCGTCGTCTCTGGCTGCTTGTATGTCTTCACATAGATCTTGTTCATAGAAAAGCCTTCACGAAGCCTTGCCTCGACAATACGATTCACGTCTGCGTATATGCGATATTCGTGCACTTTTTCGCGCCACATACGGTAAGGGTGCAAGGGCAACAGAGTCTTTCCATCGAACGATGTGCTGTCCATCGCGTTCAGCTTGACCACAGGTGCAGAGTTCGCATGTACACTCGATTTGCGTAAGAATACTGCATCTTGTAACTCTGTCATTCTCTTGACAATGTTGCTGCTTGTACTAGATATGCCATAGCAAGCCTCGAAAATAGTCTCGTAGTCAAACACGGTTCCACCAGTATACTCAGATACGAATCGAAGTAAATGCGTGTCTGGCACGAATCCGAATGTCGCGTTCAGTTCATTTTCTCCGTCCCCACCAATGCGCAAGAAATGGCATTGAATATCATGACGCACGAGCTGCATCAAGACGTTATCGTATGAGAAGACGTCTCGTACATCTACCACACCATCTGTTACCAGCACCATGATCGGCGCACAGTCCGTGGGTAACGAGTTGAGTGCAAAAACCATGTTCTCCAAGATCCAGTCGAGCGGGGCCGGTGCTGCATTACCCAAATATCCCCATTGTCCTCGCTCTTGAGCTTGAGACGCCCAATCATTTTCGATTAACTCGAATCGGTCCTTGATCAGCTGCAAGAAGCTTGCAGCATTCGTTGACGTGACAATGTAGCCCTGCATGAGCACACAGAGCGACTCGACGAGTGCTCCTTGCACCAGCACCGACACATAAAGCTCTGGACTGAAGGCCACACCACCTATCTCCATAGGTCGCAATAGACTCCATAGAAATAGCTCCACACTCTCATACAGCAAGTCCAGGAACAATCGTCCAGATGACGGGTCAATGGACAAAATCGAGGGTGACGCATCGAGGCACAAGACGCAGCGATAGCGTCGAAAGGCTGCAGCAACTCGAGTGGTTGGAGTCAAGTGTCCCTTTACAGTACCAGCCACTCCTTGGAGCGGCAGTCCAGTCCTCTCGTCTGTCCTGTTTAATGTGTCCCCAAACTTGTCCGTCACGTCGAAACTGCTGCTTTTCTCAGCTTCACAGCCGTGCACGGGCTTCTCATAGAGAACAGCCGCTACACTCATCCCCTCTCCTAGTTCCACTCCTTCAGCAGGCGCCAGTACGTGCTCAGTCACAGCGGAATCATCAGCGCAGCTCCCGACTTCGTCTTGCTCTTCCTCCTCCGGCTCAGTCGCTGCTTCAGCCTGCAGCAACTCACGCATGAGCTGCTGGAAATGCCATAGAGACAGCGTCGTGTGGTTCAGCACGCCCACATCGGTGCCAAAGAGAATGAGCTCCTCCAAGCGCAGCGACGCGAGTGGCGCCATGGCGGAGAAATGCGGACTGACCTACACTCTTCGAAAAAGCACTTGAATCCAAGTCATGCCATTTTGGGTGCACTGAAGCCGAGGTATTTGCCATTTTGTGTCAAGCCTGTCAGAAAGCATGACTTATGCTTATGGATGGGATACGTAGAAGAAGATTGGGTTGCGGAGAGAGGCGGACGCGGCTTATGAACTATGGCAGGTATTGCACAACACTATCTTCTTACCTTGATTGAGCGTGAGTTGTAGGAGGCAATTTTGAAAGCGCTAGAAATAGGTAGCAAAAAGTTTGTAGAGCTGGACCTCTGAATCAGACTTTAACGACCGGAGAGACACGGCGTAAAGTCTACAACGGGCATTCAATTATCTAGTCGAACATGGCGATGTGATTTTGCTGCAGACAACTGAGTTGAGGAGACGTTCGAGAAACTTTCATCTTACTCCATGCTTATCATGAACTACCGCAACGCCTGAAGCTTGTTTCTTAACACATCAGGTTTCGTCTTGTACGACATCTGCTCACCTCAGCAATAGTTAATCGCCAGAGCTGCAATCACGCCGATACAGATGCTACGCTCAAACCTTACTGCTTCCTGAATGTACACAGCTTGATACACGTTGTAATCTCAGTGTGGGTAGGATGACAACCTTTATCAGGTCGATAGGGCGAAACTCGCACAAGCAAAAGACAAAGTTTTCCTTTCAGCTATACTTGTTGCTGCCTCTATTTTTATTACCTACCACTTTTAATAGCTTTGCTTCAATGGCCACCACACTCCCAGCCACACTTGCTCTATAGCTGGATAGGTCAGCCGCAAATAATTTACGACAGTCCGTAAACTATTTGCGGTTATCCTACTCTCAGCCGAGTCTACGCCCGTTACTCACTTGGATCGCTCGTCTCGCTAACGATCGTGCATTCTTTCGCACCTTCTGACCCGTCTTCTTTCTCTACTTATTATAGTTTGTTGCAAGCAGTCGAGAGTTGTGTGAGCTTAACCTTGATTTAACGAGATAGCTGTCCCTCAATTTTGCAGCGAACGGATGCAGCGAGCGTCATCTCAGCTACATCACATTCGTTCACAACGTGTGTTGATTCTGGTTATCTTCGACACCCGTGATCACCACCACCCGTACATACACATACATGCACACAGGTACGTAAATGTACACAATATATGTACCTGTCTGCATCTTAATCTTGAATCAGTAACAGGCTTTCAGCCACTGACTTCGATCGTATCGACTCGGACAACGTTCCGCGCTAAGCTCTTGGTAATCTTGTAGAAGTACGACTGGGTGCCGATATTGCCAAATGTATTCGCAGACTCAACGCTTGTACATGTCCTTCTTCCTTACTTTGAAATTGTTATTTGCAAAGTGGCGCAGCAACGAGACACACAATTACCAATGTGAACATTCTTTGCACATGGGATGCGGTGAATCTATTCGGGATCAATTCAATTAATCACGCCATTTTTCACAACGTGTTCAATTTGCCACAAAAGATATGGTGTGTTCAATTGATCAGCGTTCCTTTCATACTTGATAATCGCGCACATCTTGTACTGTGTCACTGAGCATATCCTCAAATACTCAATATACAAAGTCTGTCGGAGCGTTGTGTGACGCACGTGCATCCCCCTTAATTCCGATTCCATCTCGTGGGGGAGTGAGTGAAGCAAAAGATTTCTCGCGACTCGTGTGAAGGAAGCGCCACCAAGCAAGGAAGGACAAGGGGAAGGGACGAGATGACGGTCGCCATTGGACATTCCGGTACGTGCTCGACACGTTTAGACGCTAGTAGCGCCGCCCCCCTCTCGAGTCATCGAAAGTGTCGTTCACTCGTCTCTAGCGACCGCCTTCTCGTACTCACGTTTGCCCCATTTTAACCTTGAAACTCTATACCTTTTTGTACGTACTGTTGACTCAGCTGCGGGTGTGCTATCGCTACTGGAAGAAGAAGACAATGTGCTCAAGGTACGTCTGATACCGACGAGCTACTGACACAACTGGTGCTGGCCGGGGACTGCAGTCGTGATGCTGATACTATCCGTATTGTATCACTTATGGTCATGGTGATACTAATAAAGATCATGTCATAATCTACTACATACAGGCGCATGCTCTGGAACAGCTGAATCAGGTGGTAGATCACCACTGGGCAGAGATCGCAGACGCCATCCCACTCATTGAAGAGCTGTCTGAGGAAAAGAGCTTCCCAAACCGTGAACTAGCTGCCTACGTGGCGTCCAAGTGCTTTTTCCATTTAGAGGAATACGAAGATGCGCTGCGTTTGGCGCTTGGGGCCGGCACCTACTTTGATCTGAACATGCGCTCGCAGTATACGGACACGATCATTGCCACGTGCATCGACAATTATGTGGCTGTGCGTGCTAAGGAAGACGTGGAGGCTGAGAAAGCACTGGACCCGCGACTCACGCATGTGGTGGAGCGCATGTTTGAGCGCTGTTACGCGGCGGGAGAGTTCCGTCAGGCTATGGGCATTGCTCTCGAAGCCCGACGACTTGACCAAGTCAAGGAGTGCCTCGCCCGCTCTACGGACGTGTCGGCCGCTCTCTCGTACTGCTTTGAGATTTGCAAGACAGTTGTAAGCAACCGCCACTTTCGTCTCAAAGTATTTGGAGTCATGCTGGAAGTATACCGCTCGCGACCGACACAGGACCACGTAAGTCTGTGTCAGGTATTGCAGATGTTGGACAATCACGTGGAAGTCAGCAAGATTCTTGAGCAGCTTGTGCGTGGTACTGATCGCGACTGTCTCATCGCTTTCCAAGTGGTCTTTGACCTCAACGAAAACGAAAACCAAAAGTTTCTCATGAATGTGTACCACTCGCTACCGACACCGTCTCCAACTGCCGATTCGGCTGCCACAGACGGGACTACAGCAACTGAGGAGGGCAAGACAGAGTCGCTCTTATCCGACACTGCTACTTCAACTGTGCTAGCCACGCCCCCTGCAGCACCTGCTGGTGCGCGTTCTGATTACTGGGATAAATTGTCGAAACTGAAGCAGATCTTGTGTGGCGAGTTCCTCGTCGACCTAAAACTTGACTTCCTTCACAGCCGAAGCGACTCTGACCCACTCGTAATGAAGACTATCAAGACGGCTGTGGAAAATCGCAACTCGGTGCTGCACCATGCTGCCGTGATTGCGCACGCGTATATGAATTGCGGTACAACGTCAGATTCATTTTTGCGCGAGAACCTCGAGTGGCTCGGAAAGGCCACCAACTGGGCCAAATTCACAGCCACGGCTAGTCTGGGAGTAGTACACAAAGGCCACGTTCGTGAAAGCATGAACCTTCTTGCTCCTTACCTTCCGCAAGGTGGTATAACAACGTCTCCGTACTCGGAAGGTGGGGCTCTTTACGCGATGGGTCTGATCCACGCAAACAAGGGTTTTGCAAGTACTGGCAGTAAGAACACGATGCAGTATCTACGCAATGCCCTGAAAAATGCCGGTTCGGACGAGACCGTACAGCATGGCGCCTGTTTGGGAATCGGCCTGTGTGGATTGGCCTCGCACGACTACGAGCTGTATGAAGAGTTAAAAGCTGTGCTGTTCACTGACTCGGCGGTCGCGGGTGAAGGCGCAGGGATCGCCATCGGTCTTACGTTGCTTGGTGCGGGTGGTGAAGCACGGAACGGTGAGATTGTAAAGGACCTGCTGGCTTATGCGCATGATACGAAGCACGAGAAAATCATCCGTGGTTGCGTGATGGGCATTGCGCTGATAATGTACGAACGCGAAGAGCAAGCTGATGCACTGATTGAGCAACTGACCCGCGACAAGGACCCACTGATTCGCTATGGTGCTATGTACACTATAGCAATGGCATACGCCGGCACAGCAAACAACAACGCGATTCGCCGCCTCCTGCACGTAGCTGTGAGCGATGTTTCGGATGACGTACGTCGTGCTGCGGTGACGTGTCTGGGCTTCATCCTGTTCCGTACACCTGTGCAGGTGCCTAAGCTGGTGTCGCTGCTGGCTGAGAGTTTCAATCCCCACGTTCGTTACGGTGCTTGTGTAGCAGTCGGGATCGCGTGCGCAGGCACTGCTAAGAACGAAGCTATTCAGTTACTAGAGCCGCTGCTTGATGACGCTGTCGATTACGTACGCCAAGGCGCACTGTTGGCATTGGCCATGGTAATCATGCAGGAGTCTGAAGGTCGTAATCCGAAGGTGGCATTGATCCGTGCGAAAATCCTGAAGCTGATCACGGATAAACATGTGACCACGATGACTAAGATGGGTGCCATCCTGGCACAGGGTATCCTCGACGCAGGCGGTCGCAATGTCGTCATTTCGTTGCAGTCGCACACCGGGTTTACCAAGATGGCGGCGGTGGTCGGACTGGCAATTTGGGCACAGCACTGGTTCTGGTACCCTCTTTTTAACTTCCTGGAGTTGTCGTTCCAGACGACGATGGCAGTTGGTCTTAACAAGGATTTGAACCTTCCTCGTGGATTTGAGCTCATTTGTAATGCTAAGGAGTCAGCTTTCGCCACGCCCAAGCGCCTGGAGGAGAAGAAGGAGGAAAAGAAGGAGCTCGTCGCTACGGCCGTTTTGTCCACAACTGCCAAGGCGCGTGCACGCCAGGCTAAGCAGGATGCAAAGGAAAAGCCCGACAAAGCTTCTGATGCCAGTGGAGATATTGTCATGGAAGAGAAGGAAACGTCTGCAGACGACGAAGAGAAGAAGGAGGAAAGCGGTGATGCTATGGACGTGGATGCTGCGAGACCCAAGCCAGTTGGTGGTCATAAAGCACCGGTAGCCAAAGAACCGACTAGGTTCACATTTACGACGCCTGCTCGAGTAACATTGGCACAGGAGTCTGTAATTACTCTGGACAAATCGCAGAGGTACGTTCCGGTAATGTACCCTACACAGAGGCTGACGGGAGTCATCATGCTGCATGACACGATGCCCGACGAGGCTGAAGATGTGGAGGCCGTAAAGGCACCCGCTGCTGCAGGCGCAGAGAATGAAGCAGAGCCACCGGAGCCGTTTGAGTGGGAGCCCCCTCAGTAGGCACGTATGCGCAGGACAACAGCAACAGAGCATGAAGAATGAAATGATGTGGGCTTAATCCGTCTTTTTTCTTTCATGAGGCGACTTGATCACTGGAAGGCATCTGTGTCCTGCCGAAGGTCGAGGTGAGACCGACTGCAATCAACAGAATAACCCATAATCGTTTCAATCGAACACATACTGCCAAGTCTCGCTACAATGTATGCAGCCTACCGACTTGCATCATAGTGTTGCATGCGCTGTCCACTTCAACATGAGTATCCAATCATAAGCACGTATGTATCGAAAGCTGTTTTTTGTGTGTGTGCACGTTTGTGGGAGCTCTGAGTCTTCCGACGACATGTCGCGACACGCAAAGAACAAGAAAAAGGAGAAGAAGAAAAAAGAGCTTTTTATCCAGCGGCCACAACGTGTCCAGCGCTCGACAATATCGTTTTTAACAGGGCGTTCCTTCCAGTCATACAGTCGACCTCTGCACGAGAAGGTGCTCGGATGTCGTCTGACGTGTGCACCACACGAGATTACTCACCGACTCCGACGCCTGCTCCGGCTATTGTGCTGTTTGGTGCCGGCGGCTGTGGTAGATCCACTTCCAGTCGCCAAAGAGCTCCTAAGCGTCGCACAAAGCGTCGAGCGGATGACCAGCGAGCGCTCAAGTCACAGCTTTCAGACGCACCGCCTCGTCCCAAGTGCACCGCCGCAAGTGCGAGTCTGCAACGGCCACAAGAGCAGCTCGGACAGTCGCGGAGCTGCCACCAGCGCCTTCTCCGTAGTAAACACTGGCCCGGTGGTCATCGACTATGGCAGCACCGTGCACCACCACGTCAAAGACACGTCCGGAGAGACCGCGCCGTCCTGGCTGTCGTCAACTGCTGTCTCTCCATTGTCTGCGACCTCGTCCACGGCGTCGCAGCTGAAACTCTCGAACTGGCAGACGTTCTACCACTTGCTGTCGTTCATCACGGGCACTGGAATGCTGTGTCTGCCACTAGCACTTGTCGAGATCAATTGGTACGGCGTGCTGCTGCTCATTGCTGCAGCAATTGTGAGCTCCTACACTTCCAAGCTGCTGGTCGACGCTCTGGATGCAGTTCGCTGGCTGAGAGGCACGAGCGTCTCGTTCAGTGACCTTGGACAGGAATGTTTCGGTGCACCTGGGAAGCTAATCACGAGTGTGCTCGTGCACGTTTCGCTGCTTATTTCGTCCACTGGATACCTCACACTCGCCTCGTGGTGTCTCGTGGATGTATTGGGCCTTCAGTATGGCACAGTCATGGTACTCGTTGCAGTGTGCGTGTGGTTCCAAGTCCTTGTGCCGTCGCTTCGGATGCTGGCGGTGCTGTCAATCGTGAATGTTGCCTTTAGCTTCTGGATTGAATCGGTCATCCTGGGTGACGCAATGTACCCGCTCAAGCAGATTGCACTGGAACACTCGGACTTCGTCTTTGTGACGCCTGATCTCTCGAACGTGACAATGATGGGGAAGCTCTCGTACACGTTCTCGCTGCTTCTCGGTGGGCTCTTTGGCCACTCGATTATACCGACATTGTACGACGCTATGGCAGATCCAGGTCAGTGCAGCACAGTGGTTGTGCGCACGAAGTTGGGGACCACAGCGCTATTGTATCTGCCCGTTTGCTGTCTCACTTACGCCGTGTACGGTGCAACGCTTCAAGCGCCCGTCTTTTTTAACATGCGCAACACCGTCGTGCGGGACCTGGCGATCGTGCTCTACACCATTCACCTCTTGTTGTCGTACACGATCACGTTGTTCCCTCTTCAGCGTGCGTGCGAGCAGTGGATTGTGCAGACGTCTCGTCGAAGCAACGACCGAGACAGTCCATTGGAAACTACTGCAGCACATGGCAATCTATTGTTTACGAGTTCAAGTCCCGAACTGTGCAGAAGAGAGCAAGACGGACCCTGTGGCGGCGTAAGGACTACTGCGCGAGTGCTTTGTCGAAGTGTCGTCGTGCTCTTGACGCTCGTTTTGGGCTACTTTAGTGCACCCAGCACGCTCGTGATTTTTGCGTGGATGCTCATTCCTACGGCACTTTTGGCTCTCGTGCTCCCGTGTGTTTTCTACTGTCAATTGTGCAGTGAAGACGCCACGAAGACGGATCGAGTTGCCTCGGTGGTCATTAGCGTGCTTGCTATCGTGACCGCCTGCTGGAGTCTCGCTGTTATTATCGAGTGTTAAGCTCGAAGCGACTCGAACACTTCGCACAACGTATCTATCGTAACTATCGTACCTCGTACATTTTACATCCACCTCCTATCCTGTAAAGGCTGTCCTCGAAACAGCAGATCGTCGTATCGTGTCTTTTCCGCATACGCTATACTGAAGCGCCTGCCAATGCTGCATTATCCCCTTTGTGAACGTGAAAGCGGAGGAACCCTATCGACTATCCGCCTTCTCGCAAGACCTATCCGTCATGAACGTCATCGCCAGCGTAAAGACGTACCTGGAGAAGATCATCTCGGACCCGCAGCTCCAGGGCATGAAGGTGCTCGTGCTCGACGCCGACACCACGAGCTTCGTCAGCCTCGTCCTGTCGCAGTCGCACATTCTCCAGCGCGAGGTCTTTCTCGTGGAGCAGCTGGGCGCGCGGCACGAGCCGATGCTGCACGTGAAAGCCGCGGTCTTTGTCCGTCCCACGGCTCGGAACGTGGCGCTCCTGCGTCGGGAGCTGCACAGCCCCAAGTACAGCAGCTACCACGTCTTTTTCTCGAATCTCGTGTCTGCGGAAGCGCTGGAGAAGCTCGCGGAAGCCGACGAGAAGGAGGTCGTGCAGCAGATGCAGGAATATTATGCCGACTATTTGGCCGTCAACGACTCGCTCTTTGACTTGGGACTGCGCAACTGTATCCAACTTTGCGTCAAGATGCCGACGTCAGTGGCTGCCGGCTCGCTGCTCTCCACCGCAACCGCTGGAGTCCTGACGACCGATCCAGTCAACAAGACGACGATGACGCCGTCGCAGTTGTTCCAACGGAGTGTCGAAGGACTGCTAGCGGTGCTGCTCTCAATGAAGAAGCGACCGATCATTCGGTACGCTAAAGGGTCGGACGTCGCCGAGAAGCTCGCGCGAGAAGTGTCGGCGAGGATGCAGCTGGAGCAAGATGGACTGTTTGACTTTCGACGGCCGGACGTCGTCCCTTTGGTCTATGTACTAGACCGAAAGGATGACCCGGTGACACCGCTACTGACTCAGTGGTGCTACCAAGCTATGGTGCATGAACTGCTGGGGTTGCACGAGAACCGGGTGAACCTTCGCGATGCGCCGAATGTGCGCAAAGACATGACGGAACTTGTGCTGTCGACGAATTCGGACGAGTTTTTTGCGCGGCACGTGCATGCGAACTTTGGGGACCTGGGGATGGCGGTGAAGCAACTTGTGGACACGTACCAAGCGCAGACACAGACGCACGAGAATATCCAGTCGATCGACGACATGCAGCGCTTCTTGGACAACTACCCGGCATTTCGATCTCAATCGGTGACGGTATCAAAGCACGTGACGTTGATGGGTGAATTAGCTCGTCGCGTACAAGTGGACAAACTCATGGATGTAAGCCAACTCGAGCAAGAGCTTGCATGTGGAGATGACCACAATGCTCATTTGCGTGAAGTCGTGGCAAAGCTGAAAGACGCGCAAGTACAACCCATGAACAAGCTGCGACTTGCCATCTTGTATGCGTTGCGCTACGAGACCCACAGCTCAATCCAGCTAAAAATCGTCAAAGAGCTGATTGCCACTGCTTTCGGGGGCGGTCCGTCATCGGAGTGTGTAGCTTTGATCGATGCAGTTCTCAAGTTTGGTGGTCAGAAGGCTCGCCAAGGCGATTTGTATGGCGACCGTGCTGGTTTGAAGAAGTTCATGCGAGCGGTGACACAAGGAGTAAAAGGTGTGCCGAACGTGTATGCACAGCACGTTCCTCCGCTTGCGAAGAAGCTGGAATTAATTTTGAAGGGCCAGCTGCTGGACCACGAATTCGGTATTGTAAACGGAAGCGCCGGTGCTGCAGTATCAACTGATTTCAGCGGAAGCAATGGTGTCAAGCGCGTACGCGATGTGATCGTGTACGTGTGCGGTGGTGTCACGTTCGAAGAGGCCATGAAGGTCGCTGAGCTGAATCAGAAGGCAGCTGCATCGGGCTCAGGCCAGCGTATTCTGCTTGGCGGGTCATGTATCCACAACTCCACCAGCTTTCTGAATGAAGTAGCAACGGCTTTCAACTTGAGCTTTCCTCAAGGTCACACCGAAAGCACGACAGGTAGCTGGCAGTATGATGGAAAGAAGCTCTAGAACCTGCATCAGTGTAGTTGAAGCTGCTTCAAGGACGATCCAGTGAAGACAGGCAAAGGACAGAGCAGCAGACGTATGATCAATGGCTTCCAAAGCTGAATGAATGAATGAGTGGATGTATCCGTGCAGCATTGCTGGAGTCGTCAGTTAATCTAATTGAACGAGCGAAATGCGCTCGTACGTGGCTTGGTCGTCGTCGATGCTCGTGCCGTAGAGATCGACGTAGAGCACCGAGGGCACGAACGTCTGCGAGGTGGCAGTTTTCACGTAGATCTTCCACAGTCGGGACGTCACCCCGTTGATCGTGACCTGCAGGATGGCGCGCCCTTTGGCGTCCACGTAGAGCAGAGCCGAGCGACTGGGCAAGGCGTTCAGCGTGACCGAGTAACTCGTGCCAACTGCTTGAGCCGAAGCCCCTTCCGCCGCCTTGTGCGAGTAGCCCCAAGCCAGTCGCCGCTCGATCATCCCGACGGCGTTCGTGGTGGGATGGGCCGTCCAGCCGAAGCTCTGCCAGTTGATGTCCAGCGGCTTCTTCGGGTCCAGCTCTCGCCCTTCTTTGCCCCGGAAGTTCGCCGTATAGACGACGAGTTGGGCGTTCTTGCTGCGCTCGAAGATGGCTACACGACGGGGATCCACCGGCAAGTACATTGGCCAGAGCGGCGTCTGCGGGTGACTGGACTTTGTCGTGCAGTGGTAGTCGTGGTCGGGGAAGTCGTCGGTAAAAAAGTGCTTTTCCTGCGTCTTTCGACTTTTCGTGCTCATGTTTACGTCGGCTTGTCGTCGCTACTTCAGCAATGACGCGATCGAGGAGTGAAGGGACTTTGGACGTGCAAAAGCGGGCCAGAGGATCGTGACGTCGCTCACTTCAGGGACGTAAAAAGGCGAACCGACTGGGATCAAGGAAGTACTCACGAGCCGTTTCGTTTTTTTCCCTCGGTTTGTGCAAAAAAGAGGATAAAATGGCGCTCTGAAGTGACGTTCGTGTGGCACGGGAATAGTAGGTGTCCTTCCGACCTTTCTCTGACTACTTCAAGGTGTGCAGCATAACGAATCCAAGAGGAAACACCTGCATCTAGTAAACACGACGATTTTGAGGGGATATCTGGGATGAAGCTCAATTCGATGGGAAAACGAAAACCACGTCCACGTATTTTGGTGTGACGTCCACATCCAGCGCTTGCAATAACGCCGTCTTCCCGTCGTGACCTTTGCGAGACATTTGGCTTTGCTTGTGGCCTCCAGCTATCCATCGAGTCTCCTCTTTTTTCCATTGCATCCAACGCTGAGCTGATACTAGGAAAAATTAGGAAAGCTGGTTCGGTTCAATAAGCGCGATGATATAATGGCGCTTGGGAACACTAGCTTGCCCTATACAGCAGCAGGAATGACAAGATGCCCACATCAGACGTCTGAAATTATGGCATGATTCCGACGCAGCATATCGACGACACTGAATGATAGAGCGCTGCTCGAGTTGTAATATGATGTTGTACTCAGTGATGTGCTTGGTCTACTGTAGCGGTCGCATCATAGAGATTCCGTACGGTTCTGGATACTGGGACCGTCTCGCCTCCACCTTGTTGTAAACAACACCTTTATCATCGCCCACGATGTAGCCACGTGGTCACTCTTTGCATCCTCAGATTTGATGTCGATCATTTGGTCTTGTCTGCATTGCGCCTTGATTTATGACTTCTCTCACACTCATTAACTCTACATTTGCTCGACTTCGCATACTGCACGTCGCTGCGGTACTGTCTTACTACTTATGTCGCCTTCATGCGCGTGTATTAAAGACAATTGACAAACACCGAATCAATTACGTGGACGTGGACAAGTACCCTAGCACGCATAGACAGCACTTACATGATGACAAGGATAGTCGCGAACATACCCTGACGAGCAGTCGATATGCAAGTCCACCAAATACTGAACAACACATGCGCAAGGCCAGTATATTTGCTGCTAAAATGACGAACAATGCCGGTGCCGTTATGTTCCTTGCTCTTGAACTAATATGCAACAGAGACGTCTCTCCTTCCGTCTACAATCAAGTTGACGTCGGCCGAACTTCATGCGTGAATTACAAAGGTCGTAGTGTTGTTGATCATCCATGTTGTGTGCTGAGCGTTGCAACTCGACCTGCCGTTTGCGCTGTTTTGTCGACAATTCGTTTGCGCTTGCACGCCGTGGCCAATAGGTACACTACAATCGTGAGGGAGCGCAATAAAGACGCTACGTTGCCTCACATCATTCCCAAACAGGAGGCAATGAAAGTCTCGGCTACAGTCGCCTAGGTGCGTGTGGTTATTGGAAATAGTCAGTAAGCGTTGACAAACGTCTTGTCTTCGTTCTACTATCGATAAAATACGGATATACGAGCCAGATGGACGTAGATTCGGTCCGGTCCGGTCAGGTCACTAAAGTCACGACATCCTTCGACAGCATCCCTCATTTTGCACCCCCTCCACAGTCAACCAATGTCGTTAAACCGAGGTACTTCTGTTTTCCAAATGAATGGACGCGCTGCCATGCACAAGTCGAACGTAACACTACTTCAATTCAACGCAATAGCTCCTCTCGAAGCAACGCTAATAGCTCGAGGTCACGTACCCACTCGCCCTCATGGACGCTATCAATGCGTCTCGACCTGATGTGATCGGGAAACTGCCGCAGCTGCAGAACATGGTGAAGCGCGACCCTGAGGGGTATCGCCCCGAGTTCCGCATGCAACAGCGTCACTTTGAATCCGAGTACCAGTTGTTCCTGCTCCAGCCAACTAAAGTGTCGGCACATTTCGGCGCTCTCGTGATCTTCTTGAGTCATGTCGCCAAGTGCTACCCCGTTGACATGGCAGCTTTCCCGCAGCAGATTATCTCTCTGCTACGTGACAACTACTTGGTTCTGGAGCCCGAAGTCCGCAAGACATTAGTGCAGAGTCTCATGCTGCTACGCAATCGCGGCCTCATCGATGCTATCACGTTGCTCAAGCTCTTTTTTGAACTCTTTCGGTGTCCGGACAAGCGCTTGCGCGAGCTGTTGTACAAACACATTGTGTCGGACCTTCGGCAATTGAACGCCACGTCGCGCAATGTGAAAGTCAACAAAGCGCTGCAGAACTTCCTGTTCGAGATGCTCCAGGATGAGAGCGAACACGCCGCGATCAAGTCGCTGCAGGTGCTCATGGAGCTGTTCAAGCGGAAGATCTGGCACGACCAACGCAGTGTGAACGTCATTGCAATGGCGTGCACGAGCACGAACACGAAACTGCTCGTGATGGCGCTGAGCTTCTTCTTGGGCATCGACGACGACATTCTCGAGGACGAAGAGCTGCAGAAAAAAGAGAAGAAAGCGCTCGTGGTGGTGGACTTTCACGCCCACTCGAAGAAGACGAAAAAGCGTCAACGGGACACGCTCCAAGCGCTGTACAAGAACAAACGAGCACGGAAACGCGAACTCACTTTCATGACAACATTTCCAGCCATTGAACTGCTTAACGATCCACAAGGTGTTGCCGAACGCCAATTGAAGCTCCTCAAGCGCTGCACGGAGCGGTTCGAAGTGAAGTTACTCATGATGAACTTCATCGGTCGTGTCGTGGGTTTTCACAAACTCGTGCTGCTTCCGTTCTACCCGCTGGTGCAGCGCTATCTGCAGTCCCATCAGCAGAGTGTCACGGCCATTCTAGCGTACTTGGTGCAGTCCTGTCACGATGAAATTCCACCGGAGGAGCTCTTGCCCATTGTCAAGAGCATCGCACACAACTTTATCACCGAGCGCTGTTCGTCCGAGGTTATTGCTGTCGGTATCAACTCGCTGCGTGAACTCTTTCGTCGCATCCCCTTGTTGCTGGAATGTGATGGCATTGACGTGCTCGTGACCGACTTGATCCAGTACAACCGAGCGCGCGACAAAACGATCGTCATGGCCGCTCGTGGCGTGCTCAACCTCATCCGAGAGATTCACCCGGTCCTCTTGAAGCGCAAGGACCGTGGCAAGTTCTATAGCGAGGCAGCCAAACCGCATCGCTTTGGTGAACTTGTAGCAAGTGAAGGTGTGGATGGAGCGGATCTCTTGGCAGAAGCTGAAGCTGCTGGGCGGTTCGACGGGGACGAGAACCAAGATGGATGGGAGGTCGCTTCAGCTGCGTCGGACGTCGATGGATCGGAAGATGAGTGGGTGGACATGTCTTCGGACGAGGAAGACACTGCAGATCCAGTTGACGAGCATGAGCTGGAAGGTGGAGACGACGAAGACGAGGAGAGTACCGAGACACCGACAGCGATGGAGCAGCAGGACCGGTTAGACGCTCGTCGGATCTTGACACCTCTTGATTTCGAGCGCATTGAGATGCTCAAGAAAGAACGGGACGCAGCGTTGAAGGATCCCAAGTCACGCAGTAAGCGGAAGGCCGAAGGAGACGCCGCCAAAGCAAGTTCCGATGCGACGAAGGTGAACCCGACTGACCTCGAAGGGTACTCGAAGAAGAAGCGAATGACGCAGGAGGAACGACTTCGTGTGGTGCTGGAAGGCCGCGAAGATTACAAGCACAAGCGTTCCGGCGGCGGCACGACCAACTCGGAGAAGAAACGGCTCAAGCACTTCATGATGATCAAGAAGAGCAAGTCGGTGCAATCCAAGGTGCTCGTGTCAGCTCGTCAGGTCCAGTCTCAGAAGAACCGCGTCGTGAAGAAGATCCTCAAGCACGACGCGAAGAAACGGCGCAAGATTTAGAGATGGCCAGGTACCGAGCGTTTGCTGGAAGTTGGTTGGTGCATGGAGACGTGACGACTGCCTTGAGCAAGCCAGCTCAGCTCACAGACTATTCACACATTGAAGAATGATGACCCTTGTTTGCTTCCGCTCGTACTTTATTTTCAAGTGCCCTGTGCGTGCGTGCACGGTGTTTTTTTTCCTGCTGCAAAGCGCACTTTCGAACGCTCTCTTACGTTTGCTGGCCACTCTCTTCACTTCATGGACTGCTGCTTCATTTGGAGCTCCTCCTGGATCTCCTGAATGGTCTTCCCCTTCGTCTCTGGCACGTACTTGAAGATGAAGGCGAGCGCCAAGCACAGCGAAATGCCGAAGGGCACAAACGTGTACTGGCCTAGGGTGCTTTGCATGGTCGGGAACAAGAGCCCTACCAGGAAGCTGCACAACCAGTTCACCATCGTGGCAATGCTCATGGCTGTCGGCCGCGGCTTGGCAGGGAACATCTCCGCGACAATCAACCACGGAATTGGACCCAACCCGATCTCGAAGAACCATACAAAGCACATGACACCGCCCACGCTGACCATGCTTGCAAACGGAAGGGCGTCCATCAAGCCTAGCGTCAGCACGACACTTGAGACGATCATCCCAGTGGCAGAATAGATCAGCAACGGGCGGCGACCGGCCGTGTCCATGAGAACGAGTGCAACACCCGTGGCGATGACGTTCACCGTATATACGAGCGTAGCTCCGACTAGAGGGTCTTTCAAGCCCACGTTCTTGAAGAACGAGCTCGCGTAAAACATGACGGCATTGATGCCGCTAAACTGCTGCGATATTTGCAGCACAACAGCTGCCACGAGTGGAAAGCGCACGCTCTTGTCCGTGAGCACGGCCCAGATGCCCGTGTTGGCACCCGATTCGTTGTCACTAGCCGAGCAAATACTGTCGATTTCCTCATACACGTCATTCGATCCACGCAAGCGACGCAGAATGTCCGCTGCTTCCTTCGGTCGGTTCTTGGTAAGTAGCCAGCGCGGACTTTCTGTCAAGAGGGAGGCCAGAGCGAGCTGTAAGATTCCTGGAATCGCCGTGAACCCGAACAAGAAGCGCCACCCAGGCTGAGTAAGTCCATCACTTTCTCCCGAAAAGCTGAACGCCAATAGACCAGCAACCAAGACGCCAATGACCATAAAGAGCTGATACCCGGTACCCAGAGCTCCGCGTAGATTCGGCGGCGCGAGTTCACCCAGATACAGCGGCACGACGACACTGACCGTGCCAGAAGCGAATCCGACAAGAAATCGGCCGAGAATCAGCGCGTAAATGTTGACCGAGAGCGCCATCATCGCGCCTGCTATAATGAAGAGGAACGAATCCACGAGCAGCGCCTTTTTCCGCCCGAGTGCGGCGCTCACTTGGCCAGCCGTGAGCGAGCCAATGGGCCCGCCAATGGCAAAGATCGAGACACAGATGGCCCACTGCATATCCGAGTGCCCTGGAAAGATAATATCCGGATTCACGCCCCCCGTGACGCCGGTATTGTAGCCGAACTGGAACGCGCTCATGAGTGCAACGCCGCAGCTCAGGAGCAAGGGGAAGGTGTAGCCCGGCTCGGGGAACTCGTCGTCGCCGCCGAGCAGCGGCTGGTCTTCGCCCCTGGCCACGAGGTTCGTGAAGGAGCCCCAGGAGCTGCGCGTCTTGAGGTTGGAAGAGCTGCGTTCGCGCTGGAACGACTGGCGGCGCATGCCCGGGAGGACCGAGAACGGCAGCTCGTGGTACAGGCGCTTCTGCTCTTCAACTGAAGCGGGGGGAGGCAGAAGGGAGCAGTAGACAGAGACACACAGAGAGGCAGTAGACACGCAGAGAGAGAGAGAGAACACACATGGAGAGAGAACACAGAGCGTTTGCGTTAGTACGGGACGGGGGCAAAGCACCGGGGACGGACACGATGATGGTGCAGCGTCGATAGCGAAGGGATAGAAATTGGATCGAGAGGGTACCATAGAACTGGAGGTTCTGCGCCGTGTTGCAGCGTTTCTTGAGTCCTTCGGCGACTTTGAGGTCGGCCCAGCTGCCGTTGGTGCCGAGGGCGACATCGCTCTGCGAGTGCTGCATGGCTCGAGGGACTTGGCGAAGGGACGTGGGCGGCGGTGGGAGGCGAAGGGACGTGCGCGGGTCGACTGCACTGTGGGAAGATGATGAAGTGGGGAACACGGGCGATAGGATCGCGACCGCGGTGTGCGTGGGGTCGTAACGGAGTTTCCTTCTAGAGTAGGAGCAGTACTACTTGAGACGGGATTATGTGCGCAAATCTTGTGCTCGGATTTGAATTCCCTCGCATACGAGCGATTGTATCGACGACGACGACACGACCGAGTCACTTGGGGCTTGCTAGCTCATGATATGACCGTGACCAGCTGTTTTTCAGCGACAGGTGGTGTGCTTGCCTGTTCCATAGCGCCAGCGTGACGACCGTTCGAGGACCACCCACGTCTCAGTCGAGGGACAGTCCGTGCTATTTGCTCAGATTCTCCGAGGACTCTTAATGACTGAGCGAGAAAACCGGCACTCACTCGTCGCAAAGCTGTCGATGAACAATCCACTCTTACATCACTCAAAATGCGAAGCAAAGTTGCATCCACCACGAGGTGGAGATGCGAGACGATCACGAACGCAAACCCTGTCACATTCTTCGGGGTCGTTGTAGCTCCTTCGTCGATCGGTGTTCGTCACTGTCGTAGACTACGCAGTCAACATCGTTGTAGATGAGAGACTACGGATCTACGGTGTATTCTTTCGAGGTCAAAATAAAATACACGGACATCTTGATCAGGGTCACTCGCCTCATCTCGTGATAATCGCGAGACGAGAATGTCCAGCTACTGGATCGCGTAGTCGTGGCAGCTGATCGACACTACGGCCACGACAAGAAAACGGTGTACAAAGTCGACTTCACTGTAAAGAACGCAGGCATGTCGAGCAAAAACTACATGTCGTATAAACAGAATTCAGAAGTTCTCTAGACTTGAAACACTTGTTGACGAAGAAACGTTCGACTGGCTACGTCTTGAAGAAGAAGTGTCTGTTTGTAGTAGACATGACTATTCGCTGTAGGTCGCTTAGGTAGCGTGGAACACCATATATTGAAAGCGATTCGGTCATGTTATGAGCTGCAGTGGCTCCAACCACGCCAAATAGTAGATAAAATGTAGGGCATCGGCGTCGAGCGAACTTACAGTGGCGAGCTTAATGAGTTTCGAATGGCTGGATCGACGAAACTCCTACTAAGTTAGCTTTGAGAGCTCTGCAAAGGCGATGACGGACTCTATTAAAATAACGAGTTGCAGGGGTACCTTGGCATCAAACGTTGTATGACAAGATCAACCATGAAGCACTCGAGAAAGCGAACACTATACCTCGCTTGCCATCATATCTCTTCTTCCTGTCTGCTCATCTATTGATGACGCAACAGCCTGGGTATTCATTCAACGTCGCGCAACCTTTTTCGTCTTGTCTATGATAAGCCGAAAGATCTACTGTCCCGGTGGCCCTCGCATGCCAGGCGGCGGACCCGGTGGACCACGCATGCCTGCGGGAGGCATCATTCCCGGCGGTGGTCCCATTCCCATTCCAAGTGGAGGGCCCATACCAGGAGGTGGCATTCCCATGCCAGGCATAGGTCGAGGAGGAGGAGGCATCATGCCGCCAGGGAGTCCAGGCATACCTCCGGGCATACCAGGCATCCCGCGACCTCGGCCGTATGCTTGTGGCTGTGCCATTGCCGCCACTACAACCAGACACGTCAACAAGTACACGACAAATTCCACGTTAGCTTAACATTCCCATGTACAGAGCTTCAACGTAGCAGTGGCGTTTGTGGTCGACTCCATCAGACTAAGATCGTAGGCAGTAGTTTCCTATATTGTGCTCAGCCGGGTTCGGATAAAAACGGCCGCGCACCCGATCACTTATCTGTTCGAGAAATCACTTGGAGCCAGCCACACATATACACACCACGACTAGTTGCCATACCCACCCATGGGTATGAATGTAGACTCATATGTAGGGGTACTTCCTTTTAACAGAATAATCAGAATAGACAAACGCAAGTGTACCTTGTCCGGGCTGCATCATCCCGGGGGGCGGCCCTCCAATGCCACGCATAGGAGCCATTAGTCCCATTGGAAGTGACGCCCCTCCCATGGGTGCCGTCGGGATGCCTCGTCCAGCAGCACGAGCGACTCCTGGTCCATTCGGTCCCACAGTCTCGTTCTCCTTGGCCAGAGGGGGCCCTTCTACCGTCAGGGACACGACGCTCTCTCCACGTAGCAGCACGAGTCCCAAATGACGCTTTTCCACGCGCTCTTCCGACACCGTCGACTTGACTTTGGCTCGCAGGGTGCGAAACTCTTCACAGTCGCCCAGTACCAGATTCATGTGCTTGTCGAACGCCATGAAGTACCCCACGAGCACCCGCGAGTCCAGCAGCGTCACCTTCATGCGGTAATTGATGTAGTTGAGCATCTTGCTGCTCTTTGACATCACCATTTTGATAGAGAGAGAAGGAGAGCGGTCTCTAGTGCCAGCAGGGAAGCGATCGATCGATCGATCGATTGATCGATTGATCGAGCAGGTGAACTTCGGCCTAAGAAGCTACTCTTCCACTCGCTTTCGGACTTGCTTTAGTGCCTTTTGTAGTCGCTTTCGTAGGTTTTGCAAAAGCGATGCGAAAGATCGGCTCTGAAAATGGTGCAGCTAATTTTGCCCAATCGGTGGCCGCGTGCGAAACGTGGTCGTTTCATTTCTTGATTTTGTTCCGTCTAAATGCATTCTTGCCCGTAGTGGCAGAAGGATCTCGATAGTTTACTTTGCGTAAGGCAAGATGATACAAAATGCACTTGGTTCTGGGTCAATTCGTCCGACGCAAGTCGTCAGCTGCGCACGATCACTTTCGCTAGCAACCCGCAGCATTTTTGCGTCTCCATCTCATTTAGCTTTCGAATGAGTTGCACGTCCTGCTCGCTCGAAGAAATGTGTGTTGCATCAGCGTTGCTCATTCCATCATGCATGTACCACCACGTTCTCTACATCAATGAGACGACCTTTACAACGCCTTGTACGGTTTATCTTGACGCACCCTTAGCAGATCTATCGCTCATTGAGCAATGTTTCTTCAGACCAGGCGAGCGTGAATGCAACTTTGATTTCGGTCATGCTAAACAATGTGAAGCCTGTTATCTGCTGTGACATCTATGTATCTTGCTGCACAGCGAATTACCTCTCCCTGCTGCAAATGTTTTACCGACGTCTTGGGTTCTCCATTTTGTTCAGATACAAGAAATGATCGGTACTTCGCACGTTGTACGAAACATGTTGACAGGATCCGAATCCGGCCCCATTTGCCGACTCTTCTTCTATGTAATGAAGACCTTCGTACGCATACGCAATTATACAGCGCGTCGTGTACGGCAAACTAGATCTGACACTCAAACGTCGTTTCGCGAGAGCCGAATTGACTTCTTCCGTACTTGCATCAGAAGTATCCGAAGAAAACGTGTATTCAATCAGTCTTAGCAAAATCAAATAACTCGTAGATAGTGCACGCTGCTGTCTTCCCCGCGTAAGTGCAAGCGAGGTTTTGTCAACCAGTAGCCAACAAATGACCCGATAGCAGAACATATAACAAGCCATACCTTTCAAGAGGCCAGCTATCTCCCAAATTGTTTCGTAACAAGTCCGCTCGAGATCAGCCCAATACTTCATTTTACTGTTGCAAGGCGACTTGCTAAGGACTTCGACCACTTGTGCATTTTCGTGTAAATTGCCGCGGGGTGAAGGGTACGTTTGCTCTCAAGACGGCGACAGTCTAATCTCCATCCATGCCGTATCCATGACAAAGACAAAGATGCTTTCAATTGCCAAGCTAGAATGAAATTGATACCGACTGTGTGGATCCGCGCTGTTCATTACAACTCAAAGCCGCTGCTAGAATGTCCGTTAGCATCCGTGTCGCTAGGGCTTCGGGCAGTAAAGTCTTTACCAGCATTCTCCTTATCAAAAGGTTTTGTGTTTTCTTTGCGTCGTTTCATGACCACATCAATAGCATGCGAGAACGCTGACGCTGGTGCTTGCCCATGTGGGTTACTGGCCTGCAAGGTGTCAATCAGTTCCTTCTGTACGTCAATCATTTCGCCCATCTTGCCCACGAGCTCCTGAAAACGCTGATCCATGAGTGCAATAAACTGCATCAACAACGTGCTTGCTGGATCTACCGATTCGGCAGATAATTCCATCGCCGATGCTGAGCGTTTGCTGCCTCGAGCTTGCTCCCCTGATGGTAAACTCTGTCCATTCACTGGAAGACAGGAACCAGTCGTTTTAGTACTTGAAGGGACGCACCTTTCTTCTTGCTTAACATCCACCACTTCCGCCTGAATGGGCAGTGGCAGCTGCTGACTCTGCTTTACACTTGCAGCTCCTTGCTTTGAGTGCAACGTCGGGGCCTCCTCACCTACGGGTGCACCTGTAGAGTTTAAGGTCGACGTTTTCAGGCCAGAGACCGCCTCTTCTCTTAACATCGTCGTCGTTCCCATTGGAAGTAGCACAGGCGAGGCAGTAATTGAGCCACTGTGGGGCTTGAACTGTCGAGCAGTCTCTTCTCTCGCCACTTCGTACTGCCGTCGGTGCTCGACGGAATAATCCTCTCCGTCCCTCAAATGCGCCCGCATGAAGTGCATCTTGAACTTTTGCGTGCGCATGGTCTTATTGCAATGCGGGAACGTGCAGACGATGCCATTCTTGTGCTTGTTGCCGACCATGAGAGAGAGAGAGATTACGCGTACTCTCGAAATTTTAGAGTACGTGGTTGTAACCTAAATTTTGGATGAGTAGCCCCAATGGCTACATCGAAATCGTTCATCGGTCGACCTACGATGAGCGATTTTGTTGGGGCTGAAAATAAAACCGATTACTTTTGGCAAGGCGATCGGGCTTATAATTTAATACATTAAAACCCGATTTTTGGGCAAAAATAACGGTTTTTTTATTTGGCTTAATGAGCGGGCGCCTACTGGGATGATTCGCTGCCAGAATCATCGTCACCGTCGTGTATCCAGTCGCAGATCATCGGCAAATTGCTCTAGGTGTCGTTTTGTTGATTGTTTCGGACCGAGCCCGTTCTTCAGCTTTAACTTAGTGATGCCGCAATCACGAACTTGGTCTACTGAATGCCAATGGTCATCACTCGTGTTTCATCCAATAATCGCGGGGCTCGACGTCTACAATAAACATAAGCAGGGAATTTAGCTAGCTGTAAATAGTTGACCCTCGTCATCCCACTCCGATAAAAACGAGAGTTAAAGGTGTACCTTGCGCTTCCGCTCTTAGTAACTGTAACGGGGTGAATCGTTACATAACAATTTATAAGAAATTGTTAATAGAATATAACTATAAGAGTTATATTCTCAGAATATTGTCATAAGGACAAATATTCTGTAGCACTTACGAGTAGTTCCTAATTGGTTGATATAGGCCATTATATCAACCAACGAAGACGCGCCACGACAGACGCACGCAATGAGTGGTGAGCAGATAACTGATTTACACATTTGTATTTAGACATAGTTAGATGAAGATAAATAGTGATTTATTGCAGACATTAACTATTATAAATACAGTTCTACTTTTACTCTAACCAAGTACTCGCTTCTTCTTACCGTCTTCCTCTGCACGTACCAGTGTACGTGAAGTTACGAGGCACCGCCTTATTCTGTCATCAGAATAAGTAGCTTGTACTGTCACCAGTACAAGCTTCAGGGTGCCCCGTTACACCTGGTAGCACTTCGTAGTCCGTCCAAGGACCGCGTTCCCATCCAACATGAATATGTTGGATGATGAAGATGACCAAAGCTTTCACGCTACGCGTGACGGCTACTCCCATTTGAGCGATGTCGAATGGGATGCGGTTGAACGAATGGGTTCGACCATGGGCATCCATGCTGTTAGCGTCATGCTAGAGGCTCTCAATAGAGATGCCCAACATGCTACTATCGCCAAGTTCATTCAAAATGAACTTGACGCAGAACGCGAGAAAGTAGCCTTGCTTCACCAACAAGGTTCTCAACAAGCAGAGTTGTCGAGAGAACAGGGTGCTCAACAGTTTGAACTGTTGAGACAGCAGCAGGCTGCTGCTGGTGGGTCGATGCACTCGCGTCGACCCGAAACCTTGAAGATTGACATCTCCAAGTATAGGGGGGTCGAAGAAGACTCCCTCTTGAGATGGTTCGTCGAATTGGATGACGCCATAAGGGCGCGTCGCATCGACGACGGGGATATGCAAGTTGCATTTGCCCAGTCAAATCTGGCAGGACGTGCCAAGACTTGGGCACTGGGGCTCAAGTTGCACGACCCATATGCGTTTGGGTCGTTGGAAGTCTTCAAGTCGCGGCTCAGACAAACGTTTGAACCGCCTAGAGCTGAGTTCAGGGCTCGAACCGTACTCTTGAAGCTCAAACAGGGTAAGCGTGATGTGCACGCTTACGCGCAACATATACGACATCTCACGAGTTGTATAAGTTCCAATCCGGTGGATGAACACACGTTGGTTTCGGTGTTCATGCAGGGTCTTGCGGATGGTCCCGTCAAGACTCACCTGTTCCGACTTGAACTAGATTCACTAGAACAAGCCATTTCCATTGCGGAACAGGAAGACTTCAGTCTGAGACAGGCTCGCGCCCGCTCGACATCATATCGTCAACCGAGACGATATGACAACGGAGGTCCAGAGCCGATGGAACTCTGTTATGTAGAGAGTGAGAAGGCTCACTCTACAGACTACAAGAAGTTGCAGAAATGCGACAGATGTCAAAAGACAGGACACTACGCTTACGAGTGTAGTGCCCCTCGTCCAGTGTCTCGAAACACTGGGCGTAGTGACCGTCCACCCATGAGAAAGGGGCAGGGACGCGGGTCCGCTGTTGGTGCAAAGACGCAACAACGGGATGGACCGTCAAAAAACGGACAGGATCAGTAGGTGCGGAGCACCCTACTGGTCCAGCAACGTCAAAAGAATTTGTAGGCCTCTTGATGAAGGTTGCTCCCAACACACAAACATTGTGCGTTGCTGCTCTAGGTAATGAGATCTCACTCATTACCTTGAAACTCGAAGTGACGAATAAGTTGTCCCTTCGAGCTCTAGTCGATTGTGGGGCGTCTAACAATTTTGTGCGACGCCAATCGCTAGAAGATGGTCACTTTAAGTTCAGTGAATGTGACATACCTCCTACGAGGATGACGGTACGTCTTTCGACAGGCGCATCCGTAACCGTCATGAAGGTACAGTAAAGATCCACTATGCGCTAGAAGATACCCAATATGACGATGACTTTATCGTATTGGATTTGGATGACAAATTTGATGTCATCCTTGTAATACCGTGGCTCAGAAGGTACGAACCACGGGTAAACTGGCAACGTCGAACAGTAACGGTGCCTGTTGCTTGTTCATCAGATGGCCATCTGATGAACGTTTTGGAGCGTCCACAAGCGTGTGGATGTACTACGAGTGAGTGCGATGGCCTCACTTGTGGTACGGTCGTTAGTACGACTGCACAAAACCTTAGTGTACCAAACGGTTACACTTCGGAGCAAAGTTCCGGCGGCTGTGAGGAAACACAGGCTGCGCCGAAGGTCCACCACTCGAATAAGTCGAGTGGACTGGGACAAAGATGTATTTCTAGCGGGGAACATCTAGAAGAGAAACAATCGATCGCTCAGGTTAAGCGAAACGATAATCCTAGATCGACTGGAGAGTCTTTCGTAGAGGATCTCGCTGTGGTTGCGCAACCCCAGCTAGAGGAAGTAAAGGGAATAAGTCCCAAGATTACAAATACGGCGGAAATAAGTTCCCCGAAACCCGCGGGAATAAGTCCCCGGGAAGACGAAGGAATAAGTCCTTCGAAGCCTGAGGGAATAAGTCCCCAGGAAATGACAGAGACATTGAATGTCCTAGTCAATAACGGATCAAGTGTAGGCGCTTATACACTTGATCTGATTGCGCCTCCGAAGTTGACTTCGGAGATCACTCAGTTGCCAACGCTCGAACATAAAAGGTTCTTGCGTGATCTGCGTAGTGGCAAAGTCAAGCAGATATGCATACTCGTCGCTGACGACGAGTGTGTAACCGACATAAGGTCAGCAACAGTGTTTACTGAGAACGAGAGAGTTCTCAGTAGTTCATCTATGGACGAGAGTGTCCTAGATGAAAAGACACGAATTGAGCGATATGACTCCCAATCGTGGGAATCGCTCAAGAAAAATCCTCTCTATGAAGATTTGGTTGAATTCAAGGATGTATTCCCTGAAACTGTTCCGTGCGAATTACCGAAGGATAAAGGTATTCGACACGAGGTCGAGCTTAAACCAGGCTCGAAGTACTGTGTCATGAAGCAGTGGCCACTGCCTCGTGAACAAGTACTTGCGATCGACAAGTTCTTTGCCGATCGTTTAGCTGCGGGCCATGTGAGGGAATCAACTTCCCCACATAGCTCTCCGACCTTCTGTGTGCGAAAAGCAACAGGAGGGTGGCGGATAGTGCACGCGTTCAACAAATTGAACGCTGCAACGGTACCGGCTCAGACGCCGATACCGAGGAAGGACGTAATCATTGATGGTATGTCAAAGAGTACCATCTTTTCGTCCATGGATTTGATGGATGGCTTCTATCAAATCCTTATGCGGGAACGGGATATACCCTATACCGCAGTTAGCACGCCTAGCGGCATGCTCTGGGAATGGCTAGTAATGCCACAAGGGCTCAGTAATGCCCCTGCCACGTTCAACAGATGTGTATCACATCTGTTGAGACCAGTACGAGAATTCGCGCCGAGTTATTTCGATGACGTATTCATCCATAGTCGAGCTATGGATGGAAAGTCGGACGTTGAGGTTCACAGGTACCACGTCCGACAAGTTCTTACAATCATGCGAAAGCATCAATTGTATGCTAACCTCAAGAAGTGTATATTTGCAGCAAGCGAAATACCACTTCTTGGGTGCATCGTTGGTAAGAACGGTGTACGTCCTGATCCCGAAAAGATCAAGGCGATCACCGACTGGCCTGTGCCGGTTGATGTCAAAGGTCTTCGAAAATTCCTTGGGCTAGCGGCGTATTTGCATAAGTATTCACGCAATTACGCCGAGATGACTGTGCACCTCTCTCGTTTGTTGAAAAAGAACGAGAGGTGGTTATGGAACGCTGAATGTCAACGCTCCTTTGAGGGTATCAAGCAGAGCTTGATACAATCCCCAGTCCTAGCAATAGCCGATCAGGACAGGCCATTCCATGTGGTCTGTGATGCCAGCGATTTCGCAATCGGCTGTGCATTAATGCAGTACGATCTTGAAGGCGTTGAACGCGTCGTCTGCTATCAGTCGCGTCAGCTGCAACCAGCTGAGCGGAACTATCCAGTGCATGACAAGGAACTCCTTGCCATGAAGTATGCACTCGCGAAGTTCAGAGTCTATCTATTAGGAGATAGACCCTTCATTGTTTACACTGACCATGCGTCGTTACGCACGGCAGTGAACAGCCCGCACCTTTCTCAACGAATGGCGCGGTGGTTGTCATTCTTTGCGGAATACAACTTTACGGTCGAGTACAAACTAGGACGACTTAATGTCGTCGCTGATGCACTCTCACGTCGTCCCGACTTTGAAACAGTCGCGAAACCCAACAGTGAGACAGTCACTGTTGCGGTTATGACGTCCTCAGTCCCACCTACAACGTTGTATGATGATGTGAGGCGGGCATACGCCCAAGA